CGTCTAGTGTTCTCAATGGGCTTCGGGTTAGCCCGGACCGGACCGAAATCCGGCGGTTCGGTCCCGGATTGGGCCATCCGCCAATCCGGACCGAAAGTTTCGGTCCGGTCCTCGGTCCGGTTTCGGATCAGCTTTCCAAGGACCGGACCGGACCGCCGGTTTTCGGTCCGCCCGAATATTTTGGCGCGCAAGAAAATTAGAATACTTCAGCCTGGAATTCTTGAATTTTTTCAGGCCCAACTCATGAATTTTCAATATGTTCAAACTTTATGTTATGTAAATTTCAAAAGTTCGCAACATGATCTGTAAAAATTATTTTTTCAGGTTTTAAAGTTTTTACGCTCCTTGCAAAGAGCGTAAAAAAATCCTTCCAAAATTATGATTTCAGGAGGATTTTTTTTTAATTTCTACTCATGCTAATGCATTCCAAAAATTAAAAAAAGACCTGTTAATAGTTGAGAAGGAAAATGTAAATTGGTCCTGAGATTATATGTATAACCAAACTGCTCGATAGAACTTACGAAGCCTCATCTGATACATGTATCTATTTAAATCTGAAACATTTGGCATTCTGGTTATATATTCATATACAATGTTTAGTTACATAATACATTTAGGCAGAGCTGGGAAATTAACGAGTTTCGAGATTAAAAATTAAGATTTGAGATTAAAAATCCCCGAATCAGAGATTAAGATTAAGATTAAAATTATTCTTCCGCTACTAAATTAAATTTGTTAAGATTAAATTCTATCTATTTTTATGACGCAGATTAAAGATTAAAGATTAATTAATCTAGATTAATTATATTAATTAAGAATAATTCTATTTTTCGCCGGTTTTTATAGTTTACATCGATATTATATCATAAATTCTAAAATTTGAGAAAAGCATGAAGTATCAGCGCTTCATACTTAATTGTTGTTGAAATTATTAAAGTTTTATCTGGTAAATTAAGGTGAATACAATAACTTGTAATACGAGTAAAAATCAGTCGCACCTCAAATGCAATGCGCTTTTAAATTTCAAAAAATAATAACTTTAAAAAAAAATAATAATTTTTTAAAATTAAATTAATTTTTTTAATGCCAACAAATTTTTTAATTTAAATATTTAAGGAATACAATTTTAAATAACGTTCCTTTCAAAAGAGAACCTGTCAATTTAGAATTGTTTTGATTTTTAAAAATGGTTCAAGTGTTGAGAGATGATTGTGCGTTGAAATTTAGAGATTTACAAGGACTCGAGTAACAGATGGCGTAATTTTAATCATAATATTAATCCTGATTAAAATTAAAGTCGAAGATTCAAAGATTAAAAATTAAAAATTAAATTAAATTGACGTGAGATTAAGATTAAAATTATTGATTGATAAGAACAAATTTCTTGATTAAGATTATGGATTAAGATTAATTATTCTTAATCTTAATCTTGATTATTTTAATCTAGATTTTCCCAGCTCTGCATTTAGGTATGTATGTACATATATATGCATGCATAATATGTATATAAATCTCAATGCACTACCTATACATATGTACATATGTACTATATGTATGTGTAATTATTATAGAAATTACATAAAGTATAAATACTATACTATATATGGGTCTTTATACTATAATCATATGTTTTTCGGTCCGCCCGGATTGACCGGTCCGGTCCTGGTCCGGTCCCGGTCCGGTTCTGGGCCGAGGGAAAATTTTTCGGTCCGGTTTCGGATTAGTGGTTTCGGGCCTCGGTCCGGTTTCGGATCAGGGCTGATCCGGACCAATCCGGACCATTGAGAACTCTACTCCCGTCATTCCTTCTATCATATAGTCCACACATGAAGGGAACGGAATCCATTTCCCTTCCCTTACCTTTGAGATTTCACTGAGGAAGGACTAAACTCTACTTTAAGAAATCCTTTGTTGAGTCTACTAGTAACACAAATAATCTATGGCAAAATGTAAACTTACTTACTGGTTATCGTAAATGTAATAGAATCCCAATTACAAGACTCAATAATACTGTAACAAATGAGTTAGAACCCACAATTAGTGATTCATTAGCCTCTCAATTTGTCATTAACAATGTTAATTTAGTCCCAATTGACACTTTAACAGATAGTATTGCTAAATACGAATCCGAGTATCCATCTCTCGACACGGCAGAAGAATTTCATTTAACCACGGTGGAAGAAGTCAACTCAGCAGTTAATGATGTAAAAACCTATCAGTACAGCTTTGCTTAGCCCGAACCAGGATTGATTAGTAAACTCATGTTTGTCAGAATGTTGTACTATTTTTCACTAATTCTTGCATTAACTAGCGTAACTTGGTAGTATTGCTTGGCACCAAATACCACGAGCAGTGGAAGCTGTTCGTATAAAAATTTCGAAATTCAACCGTCCTAAATTCTAATCTAAGTTATTTTTTGACTCCTCACTAAATTTTAGCTGAATATATAAACTCTTAGAAATCGGTATGGGCACCCTTAGTGCCCCTCTGGTTACTTTTTGTTCATCTTTGACTTCATATAATTTCATGAGAAGCCATTAAGTATCACCGTTCCGAATTTCAACTTTTTGCGACAAGTTATGAAAATCGGTATGGGTCACCCCAACTGGTCCCGGCATGAGAAAATTTTACCAATTTCACTTCATATTCTTCCATTAGGGGCCATTAGCAGCCTCTATACCAAATTTCAGCTCGATTGGACGATTTTGAAAAATCGGTATGGGTCCCCCCTCGGCCACCTCAGGTTGAATAATTTTCCAATTTCACTTCATATTATTTCATTTGGAGCCATTAGTAACCTCTGTACCAAATGTCAGCTTTATACGACCATTCTGAAATTTTGGTGCATAATACCCCACCCACTCCGATGACACCCACCGGTCAACCACTTGACCGATTTGGCCCATCTTCGAACTCTTTTCCTAACTTTGACCAATACACATGTGGTAAAAATTTCAAGTCAATCGGTCAACTCGTTCGAGAGCTATCGAAAGACAGACAGACGGACATGACAATTACATAAGCCCTGGTTCGGGCTAAAAATACGAACCCTTATGATTGCTCCCACGTGGGGTTTGAGTCATGTAGTACGTGAACGACCGAAATTTGGGGGTTGCTTGGTTGCATTAGGGTTGAGTCCCACAAAGGCCATGCCAGCAGTGCAAAGAATTTCTCGTAGCAAGAATTATTAATTAAGAATTATTACACACTTATTACTAACTAAATAATTTAGATGCGTAAGTAGATTAGTTGCTTTTAAATTATACAGGGTGTTAATAAAGTCCGATCCCATTTTTCCTGTAAAAAAGTGAAGGCTAGTATAAAAAAAAACTACCCGTGATACTTACAAAAAATGTTCGACATATTTACCTTAGTATTTGGTCTTGTTACCATTTACTTTAACCATGCCCTCAACTCTTTGTTTAAGGCTCTGTGCTAATTTTTCCAATGTGCCTCTGGAAATCGAATTCCATACATCTTGAACTTTTTTTTACTAGCTCTTCCCTCGTCCGGGGTTGTGGCTCTTTGTATACATTTTCCTTAAGTATGGACCACTGGTTCTTCAGGGGATTCAAATCTGGGCCGTTAGCGGCCCACACCCCCTTGCTCCAGACCGTTGAAACTTGCGTCTTGATGAGACTCAAACTCGCTTTTGCTGTATGGGCTATAGCACCATCCTGCATGAAAACTATTTTTCTTTCATTCGGAAATATTTCCTTGTTCCCCATGCTATCGAAATAGATAGGTAATATTTTTTCCATATAATGCTTTGCATTGACTGATTGGCCTTTTGGTATGATATGTAGAGGGGTCACGCAACGTGCACAAAATCCACCCGCTACCATAACTTTAAGCCCGAATTTTGGGATCGCTCTTGATGGTACATCCGATTTGTTTTCTGTCCTGTAACGAACATTTTGTTGGTTCAATTTTGGATATAGTTCAATAATAGATTCGTCAGTCCAAAGGATGTGACTGCGCAATTCTTCACCAAGTCTTTTTTCACTCAAATGGGCACTTTTTTGAAGGAGTTCTTCAAATTTCAGACGGTCATCGATATATTTTTGTGACATGAGAGGTTTTTTTGGTTAGTTTGTAAGCTGTGTGACCCCACTTGGTAGTTTTCACAAATTTTTGCACGGTCACACAGTTAATTTGCTTCTTCTTCTCTTTATAGCGTTTTGAGTCATTTAACTCCCTTGCTCAATTACGTAATGAACTACCGGTTTTCTTGCAAAGTCTGTTTTTAATCATTCTTTTTGTGGTAGGTGACACCTTTCTGGGTCGCCCTGGTCGCTTTTTGTCGTGGACAAAATTTTTATTCTTCCATTTCCAAACAGTTCTGCGGCTGCAGCCCAATTTTTGCACAATTTCTGTAGGTTTAAGCCCCTGCTGATGCAATGTTTGTATCTCAACTCTAAGATGCTCATGACTTACACGTTTAGTTGTTCCTCCCATGGTAAAAATTTGAAATAAATAACTTCACTGGTTCAAAAGTTCCAGCTGAATTTGTAACAACCACGCTCCAAAAAATGCATGGGATCGGACTTTATTAACACCCTTTAGCATTTCTGTAATGAATTGGAAACCAGTTTGTAATAGCTGATATTTGTTGACAGTTGAATAAAGGTTTACATAAGATATACATACATAAGATATGTGCAACTATTGTCAATTCTCGAAGTAAACGGGACAGATTTGATTTGAATTTCAGCCCGCCTCCAATGTTAATCAAATGGGCACGTGATTTTAGTAGAAATTCTGTCCCGTTTACTTCGATGCACCGCAATATGTATACCCTGTATTAAAACGGTGTGAGTGAGTGAACGTAAAAATTTTAAGCCTAAAAAGGGGAATCTATTTTCTTGGCTGCTGCCCCCCCCCCCCCCCCAAGCCTGGCTACGCCGCTGGTGATGACCAAGGCAAGCAAGATTAACGAAAAGGCAAACGGATGTGATTTAAGGTATATTATGAATGCCTAATTAATGTAAATATCTTAGTAGGTTATCGTTTAAATTTATTTAATTTATGCAGGCCAAATTAAAGTTAAACGTTTAATGCGCATAAATTGTTGCAATTGTTTTATGTTGTATTTTAAAATGTTGCTGGCTTTCAATCCGTATTACTGAGTCATGGAGGGAAAAGTTTGTAATAAAAATGACTGGAATTTTAAAATGAAATCTTGATACACGGACCACTGATCCTGAATGGTGACCACTTCACCGGGAAGCACATTTTCTCCAATTAACCCCCCGTCTTGATCCACCACTCGAATCCCGTTAACCCAAACGCCCTGAATTCCTGAGGGTGCGAGGGTTGGCTCTTCGAAAGTTGCATGGTCCAAAATCTCTTCTGAAAATAGGACCAAATCTGCCTTCATGCCAACTCGGAGTACACCTCGGTCATGTATTCCGAAACGGCTCGCTGTGGCGGACGAGGATTTTCTGACATGTTTACATGTTTAATTAATTGATGTTTGTAATAAATTACAAATTACCATTGCAAAATTACCTGACGGCTTCTTCCAAACTCATGACGCCATCCTGTTTCGCATATCTGCCCAGAACTAATCGAAATCACTGTTGACAATTATTCTCATAATTCAGTGTTGTTTACCTCGGGGGAAAGTTCCGAATCCTCGAGGGTGTGGTTTGCCTCCACCAGAGCGAGGAATCGAGTCACTCCCAATCATCTGTAATCGTGACTGAAACACCAAGTAGTTATCTGGCTGATGCTGCTGAAACATGATCACATTGGTCATCCCGTGGTCTAAAGTGATGATGTGGACGAGAAATTCAAATTCGGTAATTTGCATGACTGCTGCACCTTCGACAATGGACAGCCCCTCAAATTCGGTCAGGTTCTGATTGACGACTGATCCAATCATGATATTGACATAGCCAATGAGGGCAACTTTACTCTCCCAGCCAGGTTCTCGTCCCCCTTCCGTCATGTTCTTGAGGTACTCGAGATAAGTCGCATTTTGCATATTTCTCAGCAACTCATCAAATCCGCCCGACATTGAGGAGGGCGGAAGAAGTTGCAAAATCGTGGAGCTGCCGGCCAGGTATGGATACATGTCAACTGCAATGTCAATTCCTTCCTCGGATCTAGCCTTTTCCAAAAGTTCGAGAGCTTGTGGGATAGAGGTGTTCCAATAAGGCGTTCCTGCCGCTTGGAGATGACTTAGGAGACCTCGGGCCCCACTGAGGCGCAGGACGGTAAGAAATTCTTCGATGCTTAAGAGCAATCCACCCTCATAGCTTCTCACATGGGCTGAAATCACTCGGTCATATTTCTTAACAATGGCGGCCAGACTGATGAGCTAATTAAATTAAAAATTAAAGTATTAACAATACAGTTTTCGTAATTTACTGAGATTGACAAGTAAAACCTCGTTTATCGTGGCGTAAGAACTTGGAGGATAGACAAGGCCCAGGGACAGCCCAACGGCACCTTGAACAAGTTGAGTCTCTAGCAAGTTACACATTTCTTGAATTTCTTGAGGGGTAGCTTCCCGATTGTCATAGCCTACGATGGCAAGTCGTAGTGGTCCGTGTCCTACCAAACTCCCAATATTTAATCCAATTCCGTTCGTTGATAAGGTGTCTTTGAAGGAGGTGAAATTGTGGAAGAAATGTTGCTCAGAAATGTCCCCAAGAAGGGTGCGGAGATGGTCTTGAACTATTTGGAGTTGACCTAATTGGCAAACATTGAAATAAAACTAATAAGTACAAAACTAATTCTGATTATGGTTCTTGATACCTTCTGGGTAGTTCGAAAACCCACAATTTCCAGTGATAATTGTGGTAACTCCTTGGACGACTTTAAACTCGTGAGAGGGGGATTCCAAAATGGAAATGTCGTCGTGGGTGTGGGAATCGATAAATCCTGGCGCCAAGTAACTTCCATTTCCTTGGATTATCTGGATTGCGGAAGCAGAGTCGGGGACATTTCCGACGATAGCAATTTGTCCACCGGATACAGCAATATCGCCACGAAACCAAATCGAACCAGTGCCATCAATGATTTTAGTGTCTCTAATAATCAAGTCGAAAACTTGAGACACGGTCAAGTCGCAGATGCTGGTTGCAAAGACAAGATAGATTGCTAATAATCCTCTCATTGTTGATTATTTATGTTATCAACGATATTCCCTGCTCCCTAGCCCGAAAAGGAATCACATAATGTTTGGCAAACCACCTTATCAAAATCAGTCAAAATGCATGCGCAAATCGATTCCATCTGTCAAGTTCACACAGATAACAACTTAATCTCGGATTGCTTATTATCGATTACATGTTTTATTCATACTGTAAAAATAATCATGTATCACAAGGGAAGACTTTTATATATGGTTCCATCTTTCTAAATTTTTTATGAATTTTTTCATTCGCATCATCCCACATTCAAGAAAAATTATCTATACAAGATAGTTTCTAAGATAAATGCACTACGAGGACGATTAGGCTAAATATATATTATATATTTACACTAAATTTTTTAATTTTGCTTCAAATTAATCGGTGTCGTCATCATCTGAACTAGAAGATGCGTCTGCATCGTCATCATCATTCCAGGACGATCCTGATGACTCTTCTTCTTCAGCATCATCATTATTGTTACCATTTCGCATAAATAGTTGGCGATTCGGTTCAAGAAGGTGATCCAAGAGACGATCTAAATCATTATCTCTATCTCCATCTTCATCGTCATCATCAAGGGACTCATCATCATCTCCTGTAGTCAAGCATTGTTTTAGAATTTTAGACAATTCGAAGCTTTTTTTTAAACTACACTATTCAACTATGTATAACATAGTACCCATTCCGTCTTCGTCGTCATCATCATCATCGTCGTCGTCGACGTCTTCATCGTCATCTGACTGCACATCATCTTCATCCTAAACAAAGTTTACCACAATTTTGTAATTACAATGTCATGATTTTCAAGCCATTTTAAAATTAAATTTCTTACCTCAACTCCGTCTGCATTGGTTAGCTCATCACATCTATTTCTTCCAACTTCATAAAATCTGACGCATGAATCTGGCGTGGACATGGTCTCATCAGGAGCCGTGTGATTCTCAATTAACGCCAACTGTAAGTCGTTGGGTGATGTAGCCAATGCCATAATGTGTCTATGATAGTAAAGACAACAGCAATATTAAAATATTCATGTACGACTACAAGTGCAAGGCTTCAGTTGAATAAATAAAATATTTTTGCTACCTTTTCAGCTCAATTGTAGCAATGCTGGAATAATCATCACAATTATCAATCACGACAAAACTGGTGTCTGCCTGTCTAAATGTCACTGTTCCGTCACTATTTGGATGCTCTTCTCTTTCAATTTTGACCCCATAAATTATGCTGCCATCATTCGTGAACGTTAACTGACATTGATCTAATTGTCTAACAGTTTTTAACAAGTGAAAGGTCCTCACATCCCAGATTTCAGTGTTAGAAATCTGAAAAATAGAATACAATTTACAATTTCAATAACTTTCCATAATAATAATTTGATAAGTGTAAAATCCAAAACAACTTACAATTTCTAGCCCATTTTTTGGGTTGAAGACACCATTTAGATTTTCGTTTAGTTTATCAAACTTGTGAACCTCTTTTCCAGACTTAAAGTCCCACAAAACTCCATCCGATAAAATTAACTCATCGTAAGGGTCGAAGGTTGCTCTGTTTTTTAAATATTGGTTCGACATTCTCGGCTTCAGAGTCATTAGTCTGGTTTTTGTCTCAATGTCAAAAACGGACGCTGTGTCACTATTCGTTGCGATAACTTTGTCTTGTGTGTGTTTAGAAAACTCGACGTATTCTTCTCTCTCAAATTCAATCACTTTATCGAAGAGACCTTCCATCTTCCAAAGAGCGCTGAGCGGTCTCCTCCAAGTGTTGGAGGTTAACAGCAATGAACATTTATTATTGGCTTCGACGTGATAAATTTCCGACTCGTGACACGGATAAGTTCCATCCTCTTGCAAGTTTGAATTATTAAAAAGTTTAACATCCCCTGCGCTAGTGCCTACAATTGTCCACTGATAACACGGAGAGAAAGCGCACGTGGTAAAACTAACTTCCTCATCTCCAGAAATGTCTGCACTTCTTAGAACTCTAAAAGGTTTGAATCTAGAGTAGATTAGTTTCTTGTCCTCGTGTCCGTGTGAATTACCACCGATTTGCCTTTTAAAAAATCTAGACCCAAAGTTGGTCCCCATCGTTCTAAAGTCTGACGCTCGCGGTCGGTCAGACTTACTTGGGCACTTGTGTGGTTTCAATAATTCAAAAGTAGGACATGTTATCATTGGCGTTTTACAGAGTGAGTGTTGATTTAAGAGATATTGTCGCACAATTTTATCTAAATTAATCGGTGCTGAAGATGCAGAGTTGCTAATCTTGTAGTTATGTCTAGATTTTGCTTCCATTTGCAAAACTGCGGCAGTCTCAGATAATCCAGCCTTTACCAAGTGATCATGTATCAGTTCTGTGAGATCGTTCCCGTAATAGTCGACTTTACTTTGACTGATCAAATCCGATTTTCGAATCACATCGCCAAAGTCTAGGATAAAGTTGTCTTCTTTTCCGTGAACAAGCTTAATAATTTCCATTGCATATTTTTGAAACATTGCGTGATCGTGTCGTTTGTCTTGCAGGATGGGTTCAGTCATTAAATTTTGAATAAATCCGGATCGAATCAGTGGCAATTGTTGCAGAACTTGACGAACGTGACGATATCTCGCAAGTCCGCTTAAACACCAACACGCCATGGCACGAATGTTGTCCGCATCAGTGATAGGTGATTTGGTTTGGAGGAGTTTCGTTAAAATTAAAATTCCGTTATTGACTGCAAAGAAAATGAATACTTATTAAAACATTGTTTTACTTATACATACATGTGATTGGCATGAAACTTACTCCGGGTGCATTCCCAAATTTTTATTTGCGTCTCGCTTGGCTTCTTGTGATGAATTGGACCGCACACACAATTTCCGATGACTTGGAGAGCACTCTTTTTCACATCCGGTTCATTCACGACTTCTCCCTCAGCAGCACTCAAGATAATACTCATCCCACTATGTTCATTAGACCCGTTGATTTTATAGCGTTCAGTCAACATGAGCTGTGTGCGCGGAATGAGACAGGCGACAGCCAAAACATCCAGCATGTTTCGAACGGTTTCACCACGCCCAGAATAGTTCCACTCGTATGCCATCGCCATCGTTTGCATGACTGTTTCTAAGCCACTCTGATTCAAAAATCTGTCCACAGGGGCCCAACGTTGAGCGTTTCCTGGTAGTAAATCTTGAATCGTAGTGTGTAGTGATGTCAACTCCATCGCTGTAAATGGCTTTAGAGACTGTAAATATAATAATAAGCATGATTAAATTCTGTCGATAAACTGAGAAATTATAAATTACTTACCCACTGCTTACAATGGGCTTAAAAGTTCAAGACCTACCTTGTATGGAGGTATTATAGACCCTGTCGTTTGTGGATGGCTATGATGGTTCTTGCCAATCGTCCTCTTCAACTTGTCCGCTGTGAATCCCAAGTGCGACTCGAAGTATCGTTTCAAGTTGAAACTGACTTGTCTCACGCTTTGTCTGCTGATCATCTGCTCCTCGTCAGATATGTCCAATTCGTCTTCTGGGTTGTCGAGAAAGTCATTTGCTGTCGTCCCCAACTGATCTCTTTGCCCCCCATCAATGCTTTTTCGCATCTGGACGAACGATGGTTGAGTCGTTATCACATTTAGAATGGCTCGTAACCCATCTTGAACGTCAAACAGATCCAACATGGTCTTGAAGGGGTAGATGACTCCGAAAAACATGATGGCGTGGTTTCTCCCAGAGTTATGGGCGCATTCCAACAGCCATAGGACATAACTGATGAGGTTATGTAGCGTATTTCTTGACATCAGACACACTTTTTCCATCGCATCCTCTGAAATTTATCAAATTAAATAAATAACCCGCCTAACAAGTGAATATAATGAGCAAAGTTTACAGTACCAGAGTAAGCAATGTAATAGAGACACAAAGATACTCCTGTTGCGCTCAAACTTGGTCTTGGCACTTGTAACAGTTTCTAAAAGTTAATAAAAATTAAATCATTAATAAGTGGTACTCTCATAGATTATTAGTTAAAAAAAACAATCATTTTAAGCGAACCTGCAGCCCTCCAGCTTGAAGAAATTCCAATGCAAACTTTTTATGACACAACAATGCTCCAAGATATTTCAGTGCTTCGAACGTTAATCGCGATGTCTCCTTGGTCTGATGAGATTTTGATAGATATCTCAAAATTATTTGAATTGCATTTTGCTCGAAAGCATATCCCAACATCTGAAAAGAATTAAGTTCATTAAATTAATCTACAATGGAAGACAACCAAACAGATGTAAATGTGCCTTGTAAATAGTATATACCTCTTGATATTCCCCAAGGGGGGCAAGATACCGGAGAGTAAAGATTTGTCGTGCCACCAAATTTACTGGAAATACTTGCCACGATCCAATGATATTTGGTTCTAATTCGGCCCAGCTAGAGCTCGTGCTACACTCTTCAATTTCTGTCGTGTCTGCAACTGAACTTGCCAATTTCCTCCGTTTCGCCTTATTTTGTAAAGATGGTTCCAAGAAATGTTTCTGCGTCAGGCTTGCTCTGGTTTTCTTTGAAGACTTTGGAGTAACATTGGTTGGCGTTTGAAGTCCCACTATTGCTACTGCATTGTTATGTGGTGTTTTAGGAGTTTGTGGAGTGGAACTTGGTGGTGTTGAGATATCATGTTCACTTGACACTTTAATTTCTGGGAGTGTATTTGGTCTCCGTTTTTGGTTCGGAGTTCCCACTGGTGTTATAACAGAAGATAAACATCCAGAATCCACAAAGTCCACATCGACATCACATCCATTCGTAGTGGAAGCTGTACCACCATTTGGTACTCTATTTGCAGTTGCAATACTCAGGATTTCATTTGCGATACGATCCACCACTTCACCATTGCTGTCCAAAAGTGGGTTTTCTGGAATTGTTTTTAAATCGCTACGATTCGCAAACTGTGAAAAAGGACGACTCAATGCATTCTTGGTTGACACGAAAAATTCATTCTGTAACTCTCGTAAGCGTTCAAGCATAAGTTGGACTAAATGAATATTCTTTTCTCTAAAAGGTGACAAAAATAATTAATATTGGTTAATTAATTCCATATTAACTTTAGTTGACAAATTATTGATGGTCATGTAAACTCACTTGAACTTTCCAGCAATTTCAGGAACCTCCATTGATGCTCCAAGTAGTCCAAGCGAATACGATTTCAACGGCTCTGGAGCAGTCTCAGCCCAAGTGAATAGTTTTAACAGCAATCCTTCCGTTTCCTGTATTGGCATATTCGAATTAATTTCCTCTTGCTCCTCCAAAAACAACTGCACCAAATTATTTGAAATTATGTACCTGGTACACTACAGAAGTTTCCAATCCTGGTAAAATATTAACAAATAGGCGACACGCAGCAGTATTTATTTCCAAATCTAGTCCCTCGCCCCAATTCTCCTTCAGGTACTCGTGAACTAATTTTGTCATAAAAACCTCCTTCTTAAACAGAGCTTTTAAAGAATGGCCTAGCGAACAGTCTGGATGTGTCCTTGAGGGGTGACGATCATCAAATGGGTCAGGATCCATTTTCAGATACTCAAGCATTTCATATTCGATTATTTCCGACAGTCTAATTGAAGTAAGAAATACTATTACAAAACTTTTAAATAAAACCTTTTGTAAAACGAATTACCTCGTTAAAATTTTGACAGGGTTATAGGGCGCATTATTTGCATTGGCACCGTTAGCTAAAATCCGATCATCCAACAGCTTCAGGATAGTTGCGACATCGGAACATTTACTGACTTCTTCATCCTCTTCGACCAAGGACGGGATGACGACACGTTCCTCTGGTTCTTCCGGTTCATTGTCTTCGTCCGAATCATCAAGAAAAATTGCCTCTACGCTATCTGCATTAGACCCGGACCCGGCCACGTCTTCTGCAACAATTTCCTCCTCCTCTTCAGGTGGAAGGGATGTCGGCATCTTTATTATTTAAATATTAAAGAATACTTTAATAAACACGAAATACAAAAATAAATAACAACACTTTATAAACTTTAACGCCGAAAGTGTATGAAATCTTCAAGAACTACCCCTTCGTATCCTCTTGATTATTCAAACTATCCCACTTACCTCGTCAAAGAGATCTTTCTTTTAATTATGAATTAAATTCGAATCAAATTCGCACTGTTTTCGCAACGAATCATCAGCTTTTTCGCACGTTGCTAAATTAAAGTTTAGCACGAAGTTAATTCAAGTTTAGCGGGGTACTGCGGCATGGGGTATTGTGAAATCGTTGCCTTGGGCAAACATTTTTGTCTCAATTTTATAATTTCCAAAACCTATAAAACCATTTAAGGAATCAAAATCTAACATAACTTTTGACTAATACACATATTTTTACAAGTTACTGCAATTTACGTAGAATGCATGTGCAAAATAATTGCTTAAAGTGAATAACCCACAATTGGATAGAATTGCAACGGCTATCCTTTTACATGTCCATTTCATTCATACATATGGGTGAGACATAGTTGATACTTATTCACAGTGGAATATTTGTAAATTGTGGTTTGCTTCATGCAAAACAACAATTGTAAAAACTTGGCATCGTTTTGCGGAGTAGCTTCTCCTTGCAAATTATACCACTTGCTGTCACTTTACAGTATACTATATTGGGCGTTTCGTTATAAAATGGTAACTATAAAGAATAGTGGATATGAATACAAATGACTGACTATAAATCGATTTAAGAGTGTATTAATAATGCTATTGATAGCATGGAAATATGATACTCCTCCGCTCACTCAACTCGTTTGTTGTGCTATGGAACAGCAAATTAGTGCATGAAAATGTTTATTAAAGTATTAGTGCCATAAATGCAACTACATAACTGCTACATTTGTGTATAGAATTCTAATCAGGACGCGAAATTCTAGAAATATATTTTTTGGACGCAATGTTTTGGTTTCTCACTTTAGAAATTATTGATTATTACTACTTTTCAAAAAGCATGTTAAAGTCTGGGCTTCCAGTTCGGACAGTTTGATTGTATTTATGATGCACCTCCGGAGTTAAGTACCACATTTGGACGGCTGGGTCTTCTTTCATTCGTTCCACCCATTGATCCTAATAAAATTCAACTGTTAAGAAGTATAATTTCCCCACTTTTTTTATTTCCACTCACAATTGCGATAATTTCTTGTCCCTTGAGGTCAGGATGCTGGAGTTGGATCACCGGTCGCCTTTCAAACCATGGCCAAATCATATAGTCAGCCATTCCGGGATGATCGTTGCCTGAATTACAGATTACGTAAATAGTTTGCAAATTAATTCGTGATAAAGAAAGAAACCTCCAAAAAAATTAGTTCCACGTTTCTCCAACTCCATCGAAAATTCTGTTATGATTTTTTCATAGTCTTCAAACAGCTTAGGAATGTCTCCAGGTGGTGTTTCTGGAAGAAATATCATTCTGTAGAAGAGGGGTCCCAACTTTCCAAAATTCTCAACCAAAATCCTGTCCACTGCTTTTTGGAATGGATCTTTTGGGTGAAGTTGAGTGCCAGAGAGAGTGTCGTCAAAATAATCAGACACGATTAAACTTTCGTAAATGCATTTTCCATCAGATCTTTCCACCGTGGGGACTTTTCCGTCAGGATTTTTTGAAAATATCCATTCCGGTTTATCCTAAAATCACCGACAGTTCTTAATTAACGAGACTCTAGAGATTCCAAATGAATAATAAGCTGAAATACTTTCAAGTTGATGAATACTACGTCACCCCTAAATGTACACATAGATATAAATATGTAGATATGACATAGTGCACCAAATAGTTACTCTATAATCTTACGCTGTTTTGGCATAATTGATATCTTTTGCAGCCAAAGCCAACAACGCCCGTTGTGCGTAAGGGCAAAACCGCATAGCATAAATCCGGACTTTCTCCGGCAACAACGGTGGACAAATGGATCCTTGAAATATACATAAAATGACTACAATTTTTAAGAAAGAAACTTTCCGTATGTCTTTTGTATATTTTACCGGTTGACAAATGTTCCAGACTCATTGTTGCTCAAATTTTGATAGGTAAATACTAAGCCAGAGAGTAAATTGGAGAAAGCTTTCACACTAAAATTTCTAATTTTTTTTTCACCAACACAGAAACCAATTTAATAATTTTAATTTGTAATCCTGTAAATATTATTATCACACAAACTCCAGAGAATCATATGAACGAATGGAAAGTTGAAAGTCCTCGACCTTCGGATGTGTCTCGATTTGAGATGGGAACTCGAAGCCCGAGTAAAAGTAAATCATCATCATCGTTGCCCGAAATGCTGAATTTCATATTGGAAAAATTTGCATAATTTGGTCAATTTTGTTACTCATATTTGGATTCATTTGTTCCATATCGATTTATTTTGTGAATTTGCAATTTTTTCTTGTGTATATTTCTCTATCATAGTATTAAATATTGAAAGTGTCAATTTTGAAGTAATACTAGCTATTTTCATAAAATGAAGTAGTTAAAATGTTTACCATGAAAATATCGGGTAACTATCATTCATTATAAATCAAGCATATTAAAATTTGCATTGTGTTTTGTCGTGCAACGAAAAAATTCCGAATAGATCCCGATCTCTTTTTTATGCCCACAACGTCCAATTGGCATCCCAGGAAGGTCCCAACAGTGGATATTGCCATCGGGAGAGTGAATCATGCTAAAAGCTTCCCATAAAAAACAAACGCGTTTGTTACAGTGGTAAAAAAAGTCGAGTTAACAAGTCTCACGCGTTACCACAATCGCTTTACACGTTGTCTAAATATATGTACATATTACTGAGCATGCATTATGCAGTAATGTATCATGTACCGTCAACCGTTTCCAAAATTTTCATGAGCAGTATTTACCAGTCAGTCTTTAAACAGTCGTAATCTACAACTTGTAAAAATAAAATTACAAAATTATAAGTAAAATGATTTATTAATGGCGCATATATCCTCAAATGTATCAAAAATCTGAATTTCTAACACTATGTAGCACAATCCTTCATTTCGATTTGCTAGTGATACTACATAATATTTTCTGCAGTCAAAAACACTACGTGCATCATTATCATTTGAACTTAAAAATGAGATTGTGGGTACACTTGTTTAATCTTTAATTTTTTACACCTTAGAAAATTCCAACACATTTACATGGAATTGACAAGCACTTCGATTTGGCTTGGTTGTTGTTCTAGGGCTGCGTATCATATCAGATGACGAGGGTCAAAAAGTCATTTTCATATGTCCACAAGTACAACTACAAATCAGAGTACATACTCGTTAGTTGAAGTCATTCCCCAAATGACTCCGACTCTGCGAGTAGGCACTTCCTCATTTAAATCTATTAACATTTTCTCCCCGTCTTCTGACCATATTTATCCTGCCGAGTGGTTGTAAATGTAGTAAAAACCTAAACCTAGTCAATGTCAATTCATCCCTCGGTACTTTCATCTCGTTTCATCTCTCATCCCTGTGTTTTTTTATATTTTACAATAATGCATTCACGCTTCGACACTTAACGACTGAGTAGTAAACCCTTCTCGTTGACATGTGTAATGATTTAGAGTTGAAAGAGATTTGCTAGAGATCTCTGCTCCATTCACACATCAAGAGCAGCTAAAAGTAATACTGCATAACTTGACTTCCCATCATGCATATTTACTTCCAGTTCCACTATTTCAAGGGATGTGTACATGCATCTCTTGATTAATATAAATGATTCGAATGCTCAGTTATTACAGTTCTCTTGGTTTGTGGGTTTGTGTTTAGTGAAGTAATATACGTAAATAAAGTGTACCCTGCATGAGTAAAATGGGGGATAGGACTACTACTACTGCCACTACTGGGATTCAGCGATTATGATAAGCAGCATGGACAACATGGACAAATAAAGTCAAGTAAAAATAAAGTGTTGACAATGAATAGTCCACCCACCGTGACATGGAATTCACATTGATGGAACCAAAGTGTATTGAGCATTGCATACGTCCAGCAAGTCAGTAGGAGCTACATAATTACAAGGCTTTAAAACAGTTTCATTTAAGGGAGAGACAGCGTCAGAGGATGATGTTCAGTCTCAGTTTTTGCTCGTAAAGTTTTAGTCCATTACAGATTTTTTTAACGGTGTTAAGTGTTCCAGGGCAGGTTTCAGGGGAAAATAAAAAATACCACTATTTTTCGTCTCACTAGTGAATTTCGCAGTTTTGCAGTCGTGGTCTGTTAATAAAACATAAAAAATGCAGCAACTGTTCAAGAAGTTCTGTTAATGAATAGATTTCTGGAAATTGGAAAGTTTTGTGAAAATTAACTTTTTTAAACCTGACAAATTGTTTGAGTTTAAGTTTTAACCAGTTTAATAATGGAACTTATTAATATCATGAATGGTATGTAAATCAGTGGTATGTGAAATATGATTTATTTCTCCCTTAACAAGTCTAGTGCTCCAAAATAGTTTTTTTTCTTTGCTCTTGTACCATAATCCAGAATGCATTTACTTACGCACGTACGTTTGTGAGATTTCTTTAAAAAGTCAATCAGTTCCAAAACATCGTTTAGTCTCAGTTTGAAACCATTCCAGTTCTTGTGTGGGTTAGTTCCAAGCTAAAATCGTCTCGTTATATAATTGTGAATGTCCGAGATAATAATTAAAACAGTGTTTATCATTGACTTGAATCAAGCATTTCAATTGAGGAAATCTGTCATGCTCTGTAAAAGCTGTGCATACTGGTAACCAGACAAGAGACAAATTTATTGTGGAGTTTTCCTACATTTCTTACTTATGTACATACGTATGTACATGTATCTATTTTACCCATCAACTAGTCCTAACTAGCGACTTGTAGTTAGTATGCACAATCGTTTTTATTATTTGTACTGCACTATTAGTTTTGTAACATTATCTTGTATTTATAAAAACGGTTACTTTGTAAAGTAAACTCATGGGTTTGACATAAAACATACTGAACGGTGTCAAAGTCCGCTTCGTTATAGGTCAAAATAAAAAAAAAGGTTGGAATATCTAAAAATAATAAGTTTGTAATAAATAATCTTTCCGTTAAAGAGTGCATAATAATAATTTTGATTGTTGGACTGCATTATGACGAATAAATAATATTTCAGTACTTTTTGGTCGGCATCCTTTAACATATGTTTATCTTGACCCATGTCAAGGGTCAAGATAATCCGTTGAAAGAGTATGACCATAATTCTAACTAAACTCTGACGAAGGGTTATCCTGATCATTTATAAATACAAGTCCTGATAGCATTGATCTCATTTTGACATTTACTCATTTCTAGTTTGTGATTTTAGGCATGCAAGTTACTTGGAACTTGCATTTGTCTTGCTTATTTTTTAACATTGAACAACGATATGTACATATATGGTTGCGTTTAACATTTATTTGAGATTTTTTACACCAATACATTTTCCCCGTACTAACATTTACCTTCCTTAAAATTAGGAAGTGCTTGTTCAATGCTTGTTCCGTAAACTGATAACGCGCAGACTTGTAACATGTGCTAAAAATACAATGAGTTTTATCATGAATAGGTATAATATTTTTACAATTCGTATCGTAATACAGAAATGTGCTCGGGTGTTCAAGAAATATGCATTTTCCAAGATGAAGATGCGTCTTTAACTTAACTGAAGTAAATAATTAGTCGTGTTTGTGACTGTTTGTTTCTCAATTGTGAAATTCCGGAACTAAATATAATCAGCCACCATTATGGACGAAGACACAAGTATAGAAGCTGCAGAGCATCATTCTTGTGGGAATGAGACTGTTTCTGAATACTCAAGGTTTGATGATTTGCTATGATTTACGTACAATGATTTCCTCATAAATATTTAATGCATCAGTGTCCATAATAAATAATTTTACAGGTTTCCTACCTGGGCCTTAAATTTTGGTGCTGCCTCAATAGTAATAGTCATAATTGTCGGCATTTTGGGAAACGCTCTGACCATCATTGCCCTGTCGAGATGCCAGCGCGTAAGGAATGTTGCGACTGCTTTTATTATCAGGTTCATATTCAGGATTGGTCAACTGGTCATTAAAACTTTTCTTAATGAACGATTATATAATTGGTTTTGCAGCCTTTGTGTAGCCGACTTTCTATTCTGTCTCCTCGTGCTTCCCTTTAGTGCGTCCAATTTTATTCACAGAGATTGGATTCATGGGAGTATGCTTTGCACACTGTTTCCTTTGATGAGATATGGCAATCTTGGAGTCTCCCTCTTGTCAATTACAATGATTACGATTAACAGGTGGGTTTAAAATATTGGCATAAAGTGCAGAAATTAATAACTCACTTAATTTCAGATACATGATGATAACGAGTCACAAATTATACTCGAGAATTTACAAACCCGTCGGAATTGGATGCATGATTGCGTTTTGCTGGGTGTTCAGCTTTCTCATGCAATTACCAACTTTACTTGGAGTTTGGGGTAACAAATTAGATTAATTAGATTAAATATTTTCAACCTCGGTGACATATTTAAGTTTTACGTAATTCAAATTGGTTTAATTATGATTAGGCAAATTCGGATATGACAAAAGATTAAAGACGTGCACAATTATTGAAGGAGATAACAAAATATCATCAAAAACGGCCCTGTTCCTCACTGCATTCGTCATCCCATGCACAATCATTGTGTTCTGTTATGCCAGAATTTTCTGGACTGTGCACAAGTATAAAGAAATATATGTTAACCTCATCATTAATTTTAACTAATTAAATATTTATATAATATCACTAAAATTATGAATAGATCCGAAAATCGCATGAGACGTCACTCTGCTCGTTCTGATGTTCGCGAAACAAGAAATCGAAAAAATGAATGGCGAATTACTAAAATGGTGAGCGGATATTTACTAAAACAAGTAAACCTCTAAAATTTTACTCGATTTTTTTCGTCATTTGTTATCAGTACGAATTTTTACATATTTTGGTCAATCAAAATCCAATCATTTCTACTAAGGGAAATTAAAATTGGACTAATTTATTAATTTTACTTTAGGTTTTGGTAATTTTCATCTCATTCGTAGCTTGTTATCTCCCCATAACCATTGTGAAAGTTGCTGACAAATGCGTTAATTATCCTGGTAAGAAAATCTATATGTACATACAAATATTCATGAAGAATTTAAGTAAAAATTTTAATGATGGTTTAATATCGCGTCTTATTTTATATAGTGACTCATGTCGTTGGATATGTCTTGGTTTACATGTCTGCTTGTGTCAACCCAATTATCTACGTTTTTATGAACAAACAGTACAGAATGGCGTTCCAAGCAGTTTTGTGCCCGTCTAGTCTACAATCTGTTACACGAGTTACCTTTCACTCCAGTAAGATAACAAAGTTCGAAAATTTATTATTGCATATTGGCAATACAGCGAAACGTATTTTTCTTCTCTTTACTTACAGACAAGTCAAAGACTGGAGGATTTGACGGAAATAGTCAAACACAAGTGTCAAGAATGTCAGTGACCAACGCTAATTTTGTAATTAGAGAATCGGAAGATAGGTTTTGAAAGAACTACCAATTGGTAGATTTGTGAGCAATGTTTAAATAATTGATGAAAAATATTTATTTTTAAATTATTGACTAGTTATGCGATGTTGTACATGAATGAAATAGGTTATTTGTTTTTATTACGACTTTCGATGTTGTTTACTGTTATCACGTATGGATTTTTTTTAGTCCTTTAGAGTTTTACTAGATACATAAGTAATTAACATAGTTTTTACTACTAATTTAACCTGTTTTTACTTTGGTTGATATACATAAATGAAAAAATAAACTTTTCTAATCAATATCTCATTTACACAATTTGCTAACTACCCAGTTGTAGTAATTTTTTAATAGACAAGCAATACAATAAATAAATTGAGACGGGGTTTGAGATAATTTTTGCCTAATGAAGATGACTCTGGTTCATTGAAAGTTAGCAATTTTCAAAAATAAAATCAAGTAATACTCTCCGAAATTGAGATGTTTTTCTCATCACTTTTTCACTTTCCGTCTCATTTTCCCCACAGTCTCCCCTTCGTCTCACACAATTACATGGTCTCACATTAGTCACATTCCATTTCCATGAAAGAGATGCAGTTCTTGCCGTTCTGAGCTGGAGAATATTTCCATCTGCTGGGATTTGGGTGGAGTGAAAGTTTTGGTGCGGGAGTGAAATGCCTTCGGATCTTCTCTTTATCCCCTCTCTACTTTTGGACCTCCGTTTGTTTACATATCCCATCATTCGACCACCACTTATCTTTATGCTCTCAACTTTGATCCGCTTTTTTCCACCCATTAACTCCTGCCGCCGACGAACTGGCAGCTCTCCACTCTAATTAGGTCAAAGTTTACTACTTCTTCGTTGGCTCTGCTGCAGCTTATCTTAATTGTTGGTGGAGTGAGTGGAAGGAAATATAATAAAGATTTTTCTGCTTCCTTCGTTCGACTTCGACTGGCCAATCCAACAAGATGATTGGGACAGATTGGTGGACTTTTTTGCTTCTGTTTTGTCGATAAAAAAAAGTTCGTCACACAAATGTAAACATTTGCTAAAGAAGGTGAGAGTGACGAGTGGTATTTGCTAAGTATTCAGAGTATTTTATCTTGATAAGAAAAATTGTGGAACGAGCGAGTTTTATTTTACGTGCACACTTGAATTTATTTGATTGATTGACACTATTGATGTTGATTGATTGAAAATGTAATCAATTATATCGACAGGAGATTTTATTTGGGGTTATAGATTTAGTGATGGTCGGTGGGTTTGAATTAACAGAGATGAAACGTAGTGCGAACTTTCTGATAATGTCATTTTGATGTTTTAATGATTGAGGTGTGATTTGAATTTAATTAAATAAGAGTGTTAATCAGTCAAGTAGAAGGAAGTGCTTACTGTACTGTTCAAAGTGTATATTATTAATGGATTATCAAATATTTACATGTGCACGTGATGTTAACTAACAATTTGAATTATTTTGTTACTTGATTAGGTTTATTGTACAGCTATGAAGACAGAGGTTTGTCAGGGTCACGCCGCTAAAAGAGGATGGGGAGTACCACCCACCAAGTGTACTACAGCTGACAAAAAAGTCACGATTAGTGCCCGGATCGGTCGAAGAAATAGCAAATCCTTCTTATGGAGGTTGGAAAAAAGTTCAAAACGAGATTCGAGTAGCTGTTTACTGCTGCATCAGAATATTTTAATACGAAGAGTTAATAATAATAATACGAGTATCGTCAGTAGTTTGATTAGTTGTACACAAAGGATGCGGTGATGGCGGATTATAATTCTGACATCGCCGTCCCACCCCCTGATCCTCCCGACCCTCCGAACAACCCAACAAACCAACAAATCCACCACACTACTACCTCATCATCTTCAACCACCTTCCTGTCACCGATGGCGGACACTGTTGGTGAGAACTATTTAATTTTAAATAACTAGACATAATCTAATCGAAATTCGAAAATGATAATTTTGTTGTTGTACAGAACACGCCTCCTCATCTCCAAATTCGTCGTCGTCAACCCCCCCTTGGATAATTTGGTCTCGGGGTCTAAACGCTTTACTTGATGATCCTCAAGGTATAAATATAAAATTACAAGAAATATGACAATTGATTGGGAAAAATTTTTAATTAATCAAATTGGTTCACAATATATTTTGCAGGACAAGACTTATTTAAAGCTTATTTGGAGGAAGAAGGTTGTTATCTTCAGTTGACCTTTCTTTGGGCATGTGAGGGATTAAAATGTACTGGTAAGTGAGAAATGCAAAATTATAAAAACCGGAAACTATTTTATGGATTTTGCAATTTTGTTTCCATCCAGCCATAAATGATCCTCCAAAAATACCTGATTTGGTTAGGAAAATCTATCGGTAAGATTTGTTTGCAATTATTTGCTACATTTATATTCTACCTTAAATTACATAATATTGTTTTTTAGTGTTTTTATACCAAATCTGATCGGGCTAACCGATTCGACAAGATCGGAACTCGCTCAAGCCATTGTTGACGGGAGATTTACGGAGATTGAGATATTCTATACAGCTGAAAATGAAGTCTTGACCCATATGAAGGAGAATCTGTACCCAAACTTTTTAAAGAGTGAAATCTATCTGTCCGCTTGTAACGCAGAGGATTCTTCATCTGGCAGTGGTTCTGGTATAGAGAGAAGACAATCTGAAGGAGACGAGTCTATTGCTTCGGTTGACGAAGAACATGATCATCATATGAATAAATTGACTCATTCTCATGAACAACAGGGTATTCTTAATATTGATCCGTTGACTGGTGATCCCATATCAAATATATCGTTAGCAAGTTTTGAAAATGTACAACAAATCGTATTACCCACAACAAATCAATTGCAAACCGTCCATGAAGATAAAGAGCTTAGTACGGCTGCAGCTTCTGCTGCTTCTCAACCCGGTCACTCCTCGAAATCAAAGAAACATTTCGGCTTGACCAAGGAAGCGCTTTTAGCTACTGAAAGGTATTTTCAAATATTTGAATATTTATTTAGTTTGAGTCACTTGGGCCCAAGTATACATCAACAAAAAAATATTTTAGTAAACAAGAATGGATAATCTCCCATGAATTTTCATCTAAAAATGACGAGTTTGTCTGCTTGTTAATACATAGTGGATGAGACTGACCAGTATAAGACTTAGGATTAATACAATTTTTTAATCCTAAAAGAGAGGCAATCACTACACACATATGAAGATGGAACTCCCATTTGTATCGATCATCTGCAGCGACAACTCCAAGTGGAACAATTGAAGGGTCCGGATGATTGCCTTTGTTTTTATTGTAGTCAATTACTGGATCACTCTTACCATTTTCACCAGCGTGCACATTGTAATTAAGGGCCTGACCAGCGTAGATTATGTAAGGGCTTGCTACAAAGTATAAAACTGCTACTTCATCCTTCTTACTCTTCATGATGCTTATTCCTCTCGTCAACAGTTCTCTAATAGTTTCGCCTGGTTCTGATGTTATGAGAAACGGTATTTTTTGAACAGTTTTTTTTGCCGTTTTTTTCGACACTTTATCCAAGATTCTGAGTTCTAGACCGCAGGAATTCATCTCTTCCATTAATTCCTTGTAAGCGCCATTAGGAAAGTTGATTGTGTGGCTGGAGATAATTTTTACTGTAGTGTCCGGCCATAGGAGCATTTTTAAGAGTGTGGTGAACTAAAATTAAAAATCAGTTATGTAGGAAATTACTATATTAATTATGATTTATACCTGACGAGCTGTATAGACCTTCATCATTGAATATTCATCGTCGAAGTATAGACGACGGTCTTCAATTTCAACCAATTTGGGGGTTGCTGCGTACACTCGTTCCTTTGTATACTTGTCCCAACAACCATTACCGTAAGAAACTGCCAATTTTACAGCTCTCGTCGCATGTTCTACTTTGTTATCATCAATGAATTTAAAGGAAGCAATGGTGTGGAAAACTACATCATTTTTCTTATTGAACCCGTCTGTGAATTGTCCTAGAACGAAACCAATCTTCTCCCCTTTATGCAAGTCGCACTTAGGCACCTCCTCCATTATAACCGAACGAGTACTCAAACAATCTAAAAATCCAAAATTTTACTTAGCTATTTTCAACTAAATCATAATTATTTACAAAAATATTACTTGAATCCGCTGCACAAATAAATTTACCACCTCCGGTCTCTCCTGAGAACATAAGTTTAAATAAACCGTACGTCCGCGATACTGTTGGCAATGAATATACCACCCTGCAATCTAGCCCTTCCACTTGCAACCCTTCTGGACCAGCATCCATTATCTTATTTTCTGCTGCTTTCCTCTCAGTTTCAGTAAGGAAAGAAGTCTTTTTTTCAATCACTTCTGGCGTAAGTGTCAGTTCCGATGTGGCTGATTCTTGTGACGCCGTTTCTTCATCGTCACCTTCCGTGGCTAATTGATAGTAAAAATCTCGTAATTTACTATCTCTCTTGTCTGAAACAAAAAAAATCCGACCGTAGTAAGTATATTTATTGTGAGTCATATATATGATATTACCCTCTGGCGCATCCGACATCCTCTTCCTCGTAAGCAAAACCTGTGTCATTTTCCACCAGACCGGAACCGGAACCCCCTTGTCATCCCTAGTGTCAATCGTTTTATTTACATACCGGTGCTCTGGATTTGTTGGTGGAGCCTTGAAATAGCGATTTCCATCTATTTTGCTCTCAACCATTGCCCAATCCATCTTAAAAGTTAATTCATCTTCGTCGTCACCATCAGTTGTGAACTTATTTGGTGTCTTGCTACCGGTAGGAGTGTCATTCCGCTTAGAAGATGATGAGGAAGGGTTGCTCCTGAGAGACATACGGAGCTTATCATTATTTAAAATCTTGACATAAATTTAAATGTTATTCCTTACTCTCTTTTTTTGACATTCTTCTTCTTTTTGGGTGTCTCACTACCGGTGGAAGTGGCATTCCGTTTAGAAGATGATGAGGAAGATATTTTCTTCATAGATGAGATAGGATCAGTAACGACTTAAAGTTGTAAATTTAATGTACAGAGTGAGGGTTACCACTATGTACTAAAGACCAGCTTAATTTTAATTAATTAGTTTTGATTTGAACAAACAATAATTTTTCATCATCGAAATGAAATGTAGTAGAAGTAGAAGGCAGAGAGAGAACTACGAGAAGAGTGATCTTGCCATGTTATAAGGGTCATTGCCCTCAAACGTTGACAGATATTTGTTCTTTTCAGCGCCCGCTATTTTGAATTTCAACGTGCGACAGAGTTTCAAGCGAAAGGAAGAAAAAGCAGCGATGCTGCTGGTGGTGGGCCCAGGTAGTTTAAATTCGCATTATTTATTCAATTATTAGCTATATACACAATTACCTACATAATTACTTTGTATTCTATAATTTTGTTTTATATTGTTTCAGTACCCGCTATTTTGTGAAGCATGTAGCAGTTCCTCATTCGATTCCATTCCCATATCATGCATCGTATTCGTCCTACAACCCGGTGTCGCGTGTTGACTCTGAGATCCAAAGTATGAGCTCTGATGCCATGACAGATGATGGTTCAACTGCTAGTCGTCGCCGTCATGGACATAATAGTAGTGATCAACAAAGGAGGCACGATCACCGGAGTCATTGCCGTGGAGGTAATGGTGGAGACCCTAAGCTTCCACACTACTCTCATCCTGCCGATCGGAGTCGCCAACATTTATCTGGGATGCGACAAGGTGCTCCCTTAAATACAACAGATGACCTCAAACGCCTTCCATCTGAAGGAGTAATATTTTGTAAAAGCCGTAGCACTGGTGCTCCCGATCCGGAGGTACGTGCATTCTCATTTAATGCTTCTTATGTATTATGACATCGTGATCTGATTAATTTCTACTTTTGCAGAAAGACCCACAAGGATTTGCCAATGTTATTATCGAGAAGCTTCAAATGATTGAACAGCGCAAAATGGCGGCGAGTGCGGGTGACAACTACAAAGACATTTTGGCTCAAGCAATTAGCAAAATTCACTCTCAAGAAGAGGAGTCACCGTCTGATATTATAGGTGCGATTCCGTATAACCTTAAACATGAAATTATTTAACAGTATACATTATTCCTATTTCCTTATAGACATGCACTTGGCCCGTGTAACATATTTATCTGATGTTACACCAAAATCGAAATCTCCAAAATTAAGGTCACCAACAATTGGACGCAGAAGAGGACCACTACCCGCTCCTCCCCCAATGTATCCTGCACCTCCTACTCGTCGACGTGATAGGGTCAGTTCAGTTTTGAATATAAGTCCAATGTCCAATTATAATATGTAATTCTAATAACTAATTTGTTTGATGCAGGATTTTGTCACATCAACATTTTCTGTTGATTCTGGAAATGTTCCAGATTCTGAATCGTTGGCGTTTCAAGACACCGAGTCATCGCAAGTTATGCAAATGTCAAAGTCTCGCAGTGTTCCTCATGAATTAAGGGGCCAGCAGGAATTTCGTCGCCGTGAGTTTTTTTTTACTCCAGTCCTTTTTGATTTTATATATTTTTGGTTCATTTAACAATCCTCATTTACAATCATGTAGCACCACCCATGCCATTTGGAGGGGTCAATCCCCGTGGCTATCACCATCCACCGAGAGGTTTTCTCGGAAAAGTGCCATTAGGAATGTTCAAAGTTAGTAGTTTCAAACTATACAATGGTTGTCAACTAACTGTATGCCTTAATGAAATGTATTATTTTATTTTGCAATTAATAGAAACCTACCTCTATGGATTTTATCGATTCTGGGATTTCAACTGTGTCTGGACAATCTACCAATATACTTCCTCCTCCTTCCGGTCATCAGCATGTATCCTCCACGACAGAAGGTCCATTTCCAGATAGAAGGTAATGCTATACATATCTCATTACATTGTTGATTCACTTTTTACAATTTTATTTTACTTTCTATTGCACATCATACATATGTAAATTCGCATGTTTGTATGTATTTTTTGTTGCAGAATACAAGATTGGGTTGCACAATCACATAGTGATCCACAAAGGTACAACTCCATTTATTCTCTATTTTGCCAGAATATTGTGTTGACTTTCTTTCTGTCCTGTTCTAGGAGGATGCGAAAACTTAATGCTCCTGAGCATGAGGATCTTCGTGAGAAGCTAGTCCAAAGTTTGGATCTGCATTCTTCCTCCTCGAGATCTGGTCACCAACAAATCACTGCACATCCACGGCATTCGCCCCCATCATCTGGATTGGAGACAGTCCCCGAATCATCCGCTAATGGAAACTATGTCCATACCCTAGTGTTTTATGATGATAATCACGACGTACCGTACGTACTAAAAGTTCCACGAATGGACCCTAGAATGTATGGGAAATCTGGTGTTACGTTGGCAGCTTTGAAAGAAAGACTCCCTCGACAAGGACAGTTTCGCTACTTCTTTCGAACTGAATGTGTCGAACTAGGATCTAAAATCGTACAAGAAGAGGTTTCCGACAACCATCAAGTATGGCATCATCTTTCTAGTAAATATAAGCTTAAATAATTACGCACATTTAACATTTTATAATCTTAATTAGGAATTACCGATGCTGAATGGAAAAATTTTTGCTCACCTAAAAGCAATTCCTCCGGGAACAATGTCTTCCTAAATAACAGGGGGCGTCACATCCACGTTATAGAACCGACCGAATCGACATCATCATCGAAACGACTGAATAAGAAAAAAACCGACCATCCTGTAACAATTTTCCTTTCATTCACTAACATACATAACTACCTAAATATAATAAATGTTGTAAAATGTGAAACGACAATCCGCATGATATACCTCGACCTTAATTAAGATACCTAAATTGTTTAACTACATACACACATAATAATACTTTTCTGTACAGCATGCAACTACTGAAATTAAAAAAGTACTACATACATATTATCTACTATATATTTATATACCTTGACCAACCTACCTTGAATATTTTATATCCTGTTTGGAAATGATTAAGATTTATGTGTTCTCTTTGAATGTAGAAATGGATTGCATATATGTGAAAGATGTTCGAAAATTGTTGTGGTTTAATTTTACTTACGTAAACGTTTTATTGTTGATGTTTGTTTATTTTGATGCATTTATTTATTTATTGCTACATACATCCCTCGTACTGGAGAAAGCAGCAAAGCCAAAATGTCACACTAATAATAATAACATTAACAATTTTTAAAATAACAAAATGCCCTCTACTTATTTAATTGTTTATACTATGAGACTATCTACTTGTTCAGTTCTCATCATCATCATTGTTGAATTATTTATGTTGACGAGCAATCGTTTAATAATATACATGTAATTGGAGATTATAGTTAGTTTTATTTACCGTTTGTATTAAACTGTTTAGAGGAAATACAAAAATAAAACGGATATGAGATTAATCCATCTCGTTAAATTTGAGACCATTTTTTGTTTATTGAACCAAAGGGTACAAGGGAACCATACACTCTGACATTTAAAACCACATTGAAGGATTTCTTCCCAAGGTGTCCTGCGTACCTTCGTCCCTTAATCCGAGGTTATACTTTCACTTTTTCTTGAACAGAGTCCTGCTGACCCACAGACACACTTTAAAATAATATGGAAGAACCCCTAATCGTTAGTAAATACATACATAAGATGCCCTTGTGTGTACCATGAATCAATATGTTTTTTTGACCTCGGTCCTATTTTAGGCTTCAATCTTGACAATTACCTAGAAAAATGGGAACTGAATCCAATCCACCTTAACCCTGACTTACTGCTGGAATAATGCGTCGATCCTCGCACTTATTTTTAGTCATGTAACCCTTCCGCATATGCATTCTCGTCCTTCTTTCTGTTAGTCCCTTCCGGGTTCAGGGTGTGTTCAGTTGTCGACTTCCTTGCAGTTCCCACAGGGGAATTTACAATTGAATGTGTGCACAATGTCCAATTTTCTGAGACGCGTTACCCAATTATTTGTGTGGATTGGGGTAACACTTGGTAATACATTACTTATTTTGCAATACAAATTAATACATTTAGCTGATAGCGATGTTAATATCTGTGCTATTTTAAATTAATTCCTATTAAATTTCTACAGGTTCATTCTTTTTCCCAATTTTCCTACTTGGGACCTACTTTTGGTTTAAGGTTAATAATATTTAGAGTACGAGTCCAATTAATATTAATAAATGCTAATAAAATTTATTATTACGTGGTAAGTTGGCAGTATTCTGGAGGGGGCGGTGTGGGCGATACCGAGGAGCTGTAACCGAGCTCGGGACATTTCTAGCCCCAGATAAATTATTTAAAAACCCGAACGCTACTCTGATTCACTTGGCCGTTCTGGAATCCACACCCGACATTTCCATCGTGTCCAACCACCTCCAACTCATCTACGATATACCGAGTGATGGAAAGTACTCAAGAAAATATGCAAAACTCGGCTTTGCTCTTGAACCCTGGTGGGGTTACTTATTTTGGGCGGAAGTTGACAATTTTCGAATGGAAAATCAAGTGCATTTCATCTACCACAACAAGATGGATTATGAAAATGTGTCTCAATTTGTGGAGGAAATTATACGGCGACCCTTCATAAAATCGGAACCTCTTTGGGAGATCTTCGTAGTGACGGCGTGCTCTGAAAATGCGTCCAAAGAAGAACGATTGAGCACGGAATGTTTTCTCATTTTTAGGACACATCACCTCCTCCTGGACGGGTAAATAATAAACATCGTATATTTCGCGTATTAAAAAATAAAATTTCAATTTTCTAAAAATAAATATTTTTTAGCATGTCCCTGATAAAACTTTGGAACTCGGCAGACTTGGTGGGAGAAAGCGATACAGGTGAAAGCAGTGCTTTCGAAAAAATTCCACCACCACCAGTCATGTTTCCTTATGGAACCTCAAACTCACTCGAAAGTGGGGGAAACAATCTGAAAAGTTTTTTGGCAAAGTTGAAAGTAATTGTTTTAACTCCGTTTTTGGGGAACAAGTATTTGCTGACGCCTGAAGACAGAAATATTCTCACCAATAATTACAAAAAATTCTCTGGGCCGTGGTATTGTTCAGGAGTGAATAGGATTCACGTGACGCCATATCGACAACCGCTTCGAGATTTGGGGTTTTCTTTGACTCACGCTCTTCTCGTCGGGTACGGGAGAGGGATCAAGAAATTCATTTCTGAAAATTATGACACAAGTTGCGTCCCGAAGAATGTCAGTATCATGGGGTCCGTACCAAGGCCAAATTACCCCGTTGATGAGGCACTCACTAATCATTGGCAAGTCATAGAACGGCATATATTTTATCCAAATAAATGCAACATGGAGTACATAATTTAATTTCTAATTAGGTCCATTATGCAGTACAAAGCAGACTTAACTCCCCAAACGCTGCTGGGTCAATTGGAATATTCGAAAAAGGAATATCACCGGGCTGTTCACGACATAATTCCAGAAGCATTTGAAAAGAATCACAAAAATTATGGGATGCATACAGCGCCATACAAACTGTACGATATTTTGTGGGATACTAAAAACAAGGGGACATTATCCTTATCAAATATTCCTGGACCACCCAAGAAACAAAAAATGTTTGGCGTTGGGGTCACCGATCGTGCAGTTTGGTTGCCTCTGACGAGACATAATAGTGGTGAGATACCCATTAATTAATTTGCATAATAATTTATCTGTATTGGATTGATATATGTAGCATATTTCTTTGAAAACATTGAAGGGATTGGACTCCTCCTGCTGACCTACGACGGGTGGGCGACCATTTCTATCACTGCAGATTCAGGGTGCATTAAAAGCCGGGCCTTGTTTAATCACTTGAATAAATCAATCATAGAAGAAATGAAGTTTGTGTTGGACGAAGTCTTGAGGATGTCACAACAGAGAAAATCTATAACAGAAAACAGTGATGACAATCATAATTTGCTGAATATTAAAGATTCGCCAAACATTTCGGAGTTACACGAGGTTAAAGTCGTGTAAGGTTTTGTAGATTTATTTTGTAAATATGCATTTAGTCTACCGTTAGAATATATCAAACGAAAATTTGTACTGCCGTGTGTTAATTTGTATCTAATAAAAATTTGCGTATGCCTTGTGCTATTTACATTTTAATCGTTACACTTAAAAAAGTATTACTTTTATTTATCATCTATTTTTAGCTTGCACACGACTTAAAAATGCGCAATTACAAGATATTTTGCATTGTCTTCTTACAAATTCACTTCGCTATGATAATTTTTGCATTTGATACGAAGCCATTTATTTCACATTCTAGTAATAATTTTAAATTGAAGACAACAAATAAACGTGCGACTGGATTAGAAAAATTTGGGATTACAACCAAGGATCTCGGTAAGAAAGTTTATGGTCAGCATTGCATACTTTTGAAATGAAATGGCTAACATAATATTTAACAGATGACATCTTTAACCAAGTCCGGCTCAATTTGTACAAAAGTTTATCACCGCTTGTAAACACCCCCGAAAATTTGGGAAGTCTGGACGAAAAACAAGACCTCCTTATCGATGACGACCCTTTATCACTTCCTCCAAATGCAAACCACATCATTTTGCAAGGGTTGGGAAGATTGTGGAAGTACGGAACGTGGGGGGTGCAAATTCTCATCGTTCTGGGCATCATTCTCATCATGCCCAACGCCGGCATTGCTGTGGGTGTGTCGATGGTCGCAGTCGTCATTGCGGCCGTCTGGCTGCCCCCATTCTTAAACCCACACGACGTTGCAGCGTTATTGCCCTCACCTTAATGTAGCCGTGTATTTTTGGATACCGAAATATATGTAAATACATTTAAAACTAAACTACGCTGATTTTGTCACTTGCGTATTTACATACGCTAAACTTTTTAATCACACGTATGCAAGATGTATATCTCTAAATGTACGTTATTATACGGCTGTCTAAAATTAGCATCTTTAACCTAAAATAAGGAGCCGGGGTTATCCATTCATTTTCGCGAAAACTGCTTACAAAGAGACGAGGAGTTTGCAATATTGCAAAATACCGAGGTATCCGGATTTATTGTGAGCATACACTCATCCGAGCCAAGTTTTTCAACATGAAATGGAAACCAATGGTAGAACATTTACGATTTCATGAAAGATGTAGGTTTGTTATCTACCTACTCACTTAGCTGTCTTAGTTCTATATAGACTACTCGTCAATCTTTGCATATTATTATTGACTCCAGCTCGAGTAGATTTCCTTTGATTAATTTATTTTGAAAAGTTTTGAATACAAATAAGAAATTGAATAAAATGCCTCTAGTGATAAAAGAGAAACAGCTTCTGATCGGCTTTCTCGTCCTGCTAGTTTTACTCTCCGTCCTATTTTTGTGGATAAAAGTGCAGAAGCATGGGGAGGAGATAAGCTGGGATTATCAGGGTGATAGCAGCAGTTCTAGTTCTAGTGAAGAAGACTCGAGCATGACGACGGCCAAACCACCAAAATGCGTGGATTCCTCACCGGAAGCTACGTCCGAAGAAGGACTTACAACGCCTGACCCAGATCCCGGCACTGGAGAAGATGGAGGTATGTGGGCCACTTATCTCGAAATCTTGATTTTATATGTATGGGGATTGAAGCGAATTTTAATTTACAGACGACTGAAAACTATGCCCCCGGGTGAAATATCAGAGCAAAATCTTGGAACCATCTCATCAATTCCTCTTCTCTTTTCCGCCTTGTATTTATTTCTTTGCCCAACTTTCACTTCTTCTCAAAACTTAAATAGTACCACTAAATTCAAACCAATCCACTAATTTCAACGAAATTATACATAGTTTATGAATGCTCACACTTTTTTTATTTCTCAGATGAACATATGTACAGATCGCAGTTCAATCATGTCTGAAAACAATGTACATAAAACAATAAAAGACCGAATATTAATATGGGACACTCCCAAAAAGTCACATGCTTTCTTTGCGCCTCGTGACCAGTGTGCTCTAATTAATTAGTTAATATTGTCATACATGATTAGAGCTGTGCACGGGCCCGATTTTTAGAAACCCGGCCCGCCCAGAACCCTACTGGAAAAAACCCGGCCCGCCCGGCCCTACTGGGTTTCTCTGGACAAAAAGCCCGTCCCGCCCAAAACCCTACTGGAAAAAGCCCAGCCCGCCCGGCCCTATAGGGTTTTTCTGAAAAAAAAGCCCGGCCCGCCCAAAACCCTACAGGGTGGGGTTTTTTTTGGGTAAACCCACCCATTTGCTGTTCGGCACGTATTTATCCTAAAAAACCGCATTTGCTAAGGCTCTCGGAGACTCGATTAGCCATGTACACTAGGTATTAATAAAAAATGCAATATTGGACAAATCTGTAATGTATCAGTATTTAGCAAATCTGTGTTATTTTAGTTTAAACAAAAATTGAGGTCTTGTAGAGCTTATTTATAATTTTGGGGAATAAACGTAAGGTCCGACAATGTTCCTGGGGATAGACAAGTATAATCTAGAGAAGTCGTAGCACTAGTGCTCGAAAAACTTTCTGGTTTGTCCTGCCGGCATTATGTGTCCAATGTTTGAAATTGCGGCACCGCATTAATTAGAAATGTCCCCTCGAGTTTGCTTTCGACAATTTTGGGCATATACATATGCTCACTTGTTGCTGTTTGAGCTTTTTGTAATTAACTTTCTTTAATTTTACGAACAAAATACGTAAATTTGAGTTTTGTGTAGAATTTAGCGCCCCAATTACATTGATTGTCTTAATCTCACTGAAACCGCCAGTGAAAACAATTCCATATCATTACAGATAACAATTCCGCTTTAGCTGGGGCTATACTATAAAGTTTTGTCTCAAATTGTCATTGTACTTTATCACTAGGGTAAATTGAAAAGCCCGAAGCCCTACAAAAAAGCCCGGCCCGCCCAAAACCCTACTGGAAAAAGCCCGACCCGCCCGGCCCGACTGGATTTTCCTGGGCAAATAACCCGGCCCGCCCAAAACTCTATAGGGTAGGGCAGGGTATGGCTTTTTTAGGGTAAACCCGACCCTACGCACAGCTCTATACATGATAATAATGACACGATATAAATATAACAGGATTTAGCGACATGCGCTGGGAAAAGCAATTTTATAAATTGAATGTACACAGGAAATTAAGATACTAATACGCATCTAATCTCACAAGTTAGTCCTCCACATGCAATTTAGTCGATCCGATAATCAAGACCAAGTTTTTCTCGTTTCCTGCAAAAATGGAAAATTATATCAAAGTCTCAAATCCATCCGCTTTCGAAATCCGGGCATCATACTTTAACACCATGCGATTCATGGGAGTATTCCCATTTAAACTGGTTTATGACCAGAACGAACTTCCGACAGAGACTTCACGCTTGATAAAAATTGAGCGAAACACTCACGGAATATCTGCACTATGGTGTAAAATTGTCCGATTTTTGTGGACATTGAATACCTTGTTGGTTCTTTTCAAATTTGGTGTTTATCTGTATTGGAATCATAATAAAATATCGTCAAGGATGACGTTGGGTTTCTTTGTATTGGTTTTTAATTGTGTGACGACATTTGTAATTCTTGTAAAATTCAATAAAAATGGTGACGAGATTTGCAGGGTCTACACGAGATTGATAGAAATCGAAAAAGAAATATTTGGTAATTTATAAAATTTTGATAATATTGGTAAATAGAACTGTGACCTAATTCTATTCGATTTATTTTAGACACTTACGATACCCGTGATGTACAAGAAGCACTAAAAGCTCACGGAAAATTTCACCGGATAACGATTAGAGCTCGAATCGTCGTGACAGTGGGCACCGTTTTCACTGCAATTACCAAACATTACATGGAGCCATTGAACCCTGCCTTTCTTTACAGCAGCTTTGTCATTTCTCCATTCAGTTTTAATTCTACGGATGATAAATATCAAGAAATGCCAGGGAACGACATTTCATTGCTATGCTTTGCAAAACTTTTGTCATGCATTTGGATCGGGTTGGTTCAGGTGTATCTGTGGCATATCCTGTACCTTTTTCTCATCGGATTCATCGCCGTTTCCCGATCTGTAGAATATTGCTTGAAGATCATTACATCGAAAGAGTCCAAAATTGAGAGTGTGCTCTCAAAAAATAAAATGTACGCTGAATCAATCAGTGTTATCGGACGGAGGGTGCAGTGGGACGACATGAAAACTTTCTACGCTGACGTGGAGAAAGCAATCGTGTTCTTTGAAAAGCTGCGAGTAACTTCAAAAATATAGATTTTAAAAAAATCTACATGCATTCTAGTTATTAATAATATGCTTAAAATAATCATACTTTCAGCGAATCGTGCAAGACTGCAACTCCATTTTTAAATGGTATCTCTTCATGAATTTGGGAATTTCCATCCTCATCAGCGTCCTCCTCGCGTATATTCCCATACGACATTGGAAAACCGTTCCTGCCCCCGGTCTCGCCTTAATCGTCATCACATTCTTCGCCTTCATCTACATTTGTACGAGATTCTACCCCATTCTCGGCTACGTTTATGACAACTCGATTAAATTTGTGAACAAATGGATACGAACGTTGGTAGCGAGGGACAGCGAATCGATCCATCGGAACGTTTACTGTAAACATGACAAAGGCCGGTTGTGGAATAATGCGGCTGTTGGGCTGGGTTTTTGGGACGATGACTCCTACAATTGCATAACACGGTCAAGAGGCAAAATGCTGAGGAGAAAGCTGAAATGTTATTATCCCTTCAGTGTGGAAAGTTCTTTTTCTTTCGGACTCAAACCATGTTAACCTTTTTCTCTGCCCTTTCAACATACTTATTCATTCTGTTGCAATTCAACTTGTAGTATTTAACACAATTTGCAATTTTTATTTGGTGGTCTAAAAAAAGTTTATCCACAGATGCAAATTCTTATATGCTTAGATTCATGACCTCGTTCCGTCTCACCTTTCACCTTTCGCCGTCTCATCAGAATGGAAATGTTAAATGAAAGACGCTTCTGTATCAATTTTGTCATGACTGACTGACGTCGTTGGATGGTGGATGCAACTCCCGAACCGATCCGAACATTTTTAATGCAACGTTGTCTCATATACTTATACATCCTCTGCTACTGCTGTCTCTCTCTGCGAAATGTTACTACATACATGGACAGAATCGGGGTTTGCGAAATCCATCCATTCTATTTTATTCTATCCAGCCATGATATACACAAAGTGCGGAGGTACAGACGAGATCTGCAACTCGGGATATGAGCTGCTGCACAATGTCTCAACTTATCATATTGCACGGTGCAAATTCCAGGGTATTTCGGTTGGATAACAACAGTAGCATTGCACAGAGGGGAGAGGTAATGAACCTCGTCACCGCAATTGGTACCATTTCGTTACCGAATGTACATATGAAAGGATGTCATATAAAGTGCTAAGTTTCTGGAAATAATTGGAAAATGAAGGCCCTGACTGGATTTCTTTAACTTGTCTCATTTTTTCCTGCTGCAAAAAAATACTGCATGATTCATGACATAAGACATAGTATACGAACCAAGTTTGGTGTTTTTGTATGCCAGCAGCAAGCCACCACCTTACGCTATTTTACAATGTTGTGAACAAAACCATAACAAACGAGGAGATTCGGGGAGATTCAGCTGCAGTCAGTTCTGTTGTCACGACGGTACAAGGACGACTTGGACGAAGGTCACCACCACTCATTCAGCACGATCCCCATTAATAATACCAACACCAAAAAGTAAACAAAAAACGAAACAGTATACCTTAAAATAGGACCCGAGACAATCACCGACTCGACAAAAAGGAGGGTGAAATAGTTGATGACTAAGTTTTTCTAAAATTTTAAAGATTTCGTAAAAAAAGAGAAATGGATACGTTACGGGAACAAGTCATGATTAATCAATTCGTTTTGGTGGCTGGAATAAGTGGTGACCAAGCGCGGAACTTGTTACAAGCGGCGCATTGGCATTTTGAGGTAATTGTTTGGTAAATTAACAATAAGTAATTGGGTCGAAATTGTAATTCATTATTGTTTTTTGTAGACGGCTCTGAGTCTCTTTTTCCAAGAAGCTGCTGTAGCTCCCCCTCCTTCTACACAACCGTATCATATTACAGGACAACATCCACACCTACTTCATGGACATTATGGACAGGTATTTAATTATTATTCACAACAGTTTAATTTTAATAAGGCAGGGAAATAACATTTCGCATTTTACAGTAGGATTTTGTTAATGATATGCATTTATGCACATCATTAAAATATCTATGTATCTATTTATGCATATATGCTAAAATGCATTCCATTTTCATAAGGTGCATTTCAAAGTAAACCATTTAAATTTTTACAGGTACATCATAACAATACACCCGCCACACCCCCAAATTTTCCCGATGCTCTACTAGCATTCTCAAAATTGTCTGCGAGTGATAACACGTCAAATATAACTAGTTGTTCTCCTGGAGGTAGTTTTTGCATTTTAAACACAATATATACATTCTGTACCCCAGCAATGACTATATTTTTTGAATCGTATGCATATTTTCAGCATATTCTAATAGTACATCCCCCTTAAGTCACCAGCATCAAGGGTCATCCGCTACGGTGATTGGGCCATCTAATGCTAATGGCAGCAATGCGTCAAACAATGGTTTCAATACTTTACAACAACCTTACGTGAGCGATGCTTCAAGATAATTAAGAAATTTCAAAAATGTCTCTTATTACGGTCAATATGGTCTGATGCATACTGCACACTCAATCAAAATGGAATGGTACACTATTTATCGAACACTATTGAAGAATTCTGAAAATTCTTCTCATTTAAATTATGTTATGACCGTGTCACATTGAATCTAGACATGTATCACTTGACTAATTGACTATTGTACGACGAAATGAAAGATGAAAATCACCAACTGATTTGATAATTTAATAGTTCTAGTATGATTGCAGCATTTACATATTTCCCTATATAATGACTTAATTTTATTTAACAATTCCTGATTTGCTCATGTAACTTAATATAATATTGAAAAAATTTATTTAACTTGTACAAAAGCTCGCATTGTTTCCGAGAGTCAGAGAGTATATATACTAGAATTAATACAATATTAATATGTAAGAAGTGGGAGAATGACTCACTTTTGTTGCATTAGTTTCCCAAGGGGTCATCGTTTTCAACGTATGTTCTTCTCCAGGTAGGAGAGGACACTTTTTTAGTGATGACTTATCGCTATTACGTATATTAATACTAAAAACAAACACCACTGTACCCTGTAGTTCTAACAAGTAGTAATAGTACGGTACTTTTTTGACGTACCATAGATGAGGGAAGATTCGGAAATTACGTAACGCAAAGTGATCCTCACCGTAACTGCTACATACATATTATAGGACTCAATTTTGCGTTGCGTAATTTCCAAACCTTCCCTTCGACAAGCTCCATGAAAAACAAACTGAGCTAAACAATCTTTAAATCTCTTAACAAAATATTTACAAAATGTAATTGACAAATTATTTACTGTATTCGCTCGCTCTGCATTTATTTTTAGATAAAAGTATTGGAAATTGGGGTAGAAAACTCGCACTTATGCCAAACATTTATAATTGTAGTTTACAATCTATAAATAGCAGTTAATTTATCAAGTCACTCAACGAAAGTACATTATATGTAATACTTATTATAGCTTCAAAAATATTTAAATATAGCTCTGTCGTAGTAAAAAAAACTCTGCAACCTGTAAACGTAACAACCCATCCAGAATTGTATCAATCATTAATTAATCCCTAGTTAAATACAAATGGTTGGTTCTTTTAGTCATTATTGCAACTAGAACGGTGTGATCAAGTATGTGTAATAAGTGAAAGTAACGAACTTGTTTAAATCAATGTATTAATGTCATCCATGAATTATTATAACAATTTCAAATGTCCAGTATTTTTCTGCACTTTCATCAACTTTCAATGCAAATATCGAGTTTATTGGAATTACCTTGCGTACATATATCTAAATGGTAACTCTTTTACTGACTTCTTCTTGTATTGCGTTGTTCCGTGTACTTCCACTTTTAACAAAATATTAACACAAACAAATTATATAGTGCAACTTACTTATATAACAGTCGTTTATGTGTAGATTACGTGTATGTAGAACTCATCCAGCCAAATATTAAGCGTCAATTTTTGATGTAGTCATTCGTAGTGAAAAAAATATTGAGTGCAAATTTCTAGCAGTTTGTTCTTTTTTCTACTTTTCCAGTCTTGCTCTGGTTTACTTATGCTTTCTTTTATAACAAAAAAAAGACGTTGTTTTACGTACAAGAACTGCCAAATACTTTGTAACTTGTTATAAATGAATGAATTATATTGCTGTCTTGTATTGTTTCATTGATCCGGACACGTTTTTTGTAACGTTAGGATGATTTTTTGACTGAGTTAAATAAAACGATAAAGTATATACGTCAATCTTCAGAAAATCCAGTTTTCTCTTTATTCATTCCGTAAATTTCGCATAATGTGTATCTGTATATCATTGCATAAATAATGTTATTAAATATGTATCAGCGCATTAAACTTACATACAAGAACGACGCGACAATAATTTTTCTGTATTTTATAAATTCACTCACATTCTAATATTATTTTTTTTGCAGTAAATCTTAACTAAATATTTCTAATAATTTTTGCAAAACACAATTTTCTTTTGAAACATTAAAATTATTTAGCTACTTTAAAACCACCAATGTTAAGGTGATCAAAATCTTGCAAAAGTATTGCAACATTACTGCATACCATACACAATATTCAATCAAGTACATGAATAAACAATTACAAAGTTTATGCAACCAGGTTGCATTCACAATTTTCTGCAAGTATAATAATATAAACTTTATTACAATGAAATGTACAAGAAGACGAAGCTCGTACATAGAATTTATAAATATAAATAAATAAAATTTGAAAGTGCAGAGATTCCATCTAAACCAAATTTTAAGCTAATGTCAATTTTAAATATTTCTCACTGACAATATTTTTTAAAGCGCATAGCATTTTTTCGAAAGTGCGAACGATTTGGCATTTTTTCCAATTGTATTTTTTACATTATTAATTTAAACTAAACTTAAATATATAGACAAATCATGTACAAAAATTAATTCTTTCATCATAAATTTTTTTAATGTAAGTAACAACAGCTCTCAGATACATTTGTGTGACTAGACTGCATGATTTCTTCTTACCCATCATCACAGGAACATATCGGGACTTTTGCTTATATGATCAAACTTTGTTTGCAAACAGTAAAAGAAACGCCTTCCCAAAGTGAAAGACTCGACATTGATATTGATAAAGTGGAATTCATCTCCGGTGCAAATATTACAAAAAAAGTGATGCAACGACAAAATGTAAAATGGAAAATAGAATCATCTACTCATTCATCGTCATGCGAGGAGCAAATTAAATAGGATTCACTCTCAACAAACATTAATTTTTACAATGAAGATTTTTCTGCAGAATTAGCACACAATCATTAATTAATTACATATTAATTAATTAATTAATTACATTGAATGAATGGATAATGTGTGCTGGGTGAGTTGTGTACATAGCATATTTAAATCGTCAACAAGAGAGGACAACTATTTAACTTAATGAGGATAGCATTTAATAATATAATTTAATTATGAGAAACATGTGTGGAAAAAGAGGTAGTGGTCCTGGTCCTATTATGTTGTATCTCGGTGGTGCATAATATTTACATATTTATGTATTTATTTTTGTGGTGAGGAGTGAAAGTGAATTTGTGTTTTTGTTTCTTCAGCGTCATACATATTCTTTTTTATCTGAGAGAGGCATTCGCATATTTTTTTTTACTTATTTACATAAAATTAATGCATAACACGTCTTGTCTTTTATTAAGGAATTTTCGTGCATTATTTAAACATTTATGTATGTGTACTTACTTAAACTAATGGTAAAATGCATTCCATTTTCATTTTAAGGTACATTTCAAAGTAAGCTGTTTAATTTGAATTATTTTTTAATACTTATAAACTTTTTGGTAAATGCAGTATTAATTTTTCACAGTTGTTTATTTAGTAATACAGATTTTTAATAGATTGGTAGAATAAAAGCCCACAATAAAATGGTTCGAAGAATTTGTACAGTCACATGCAGCAAGGTAGCAGTGTATTTTTAAAGAGTTTTTTTCACGAGTTTATAATCAGCGTATTCAGCACGTAGTTATTAACAAATGGCGTTTTATGGCTTTATTATAAATCCTGCTGCTAAATTTTGAAAAGTTAACTCTCAAATAGCAAAAGTTCGTCGGTCTCCATATATAAGTACATATCTCGTATGTAACCTCGTTTATATCAGTCAGTTTAATTACAAGGACAAAACATTTTGCACATTTCCATGATAGCTACAAACGAATCTAAAGCTGCAAACAGGGATAAAAAGGGTGAACATTTATTAAAGAGGTAGTGAGTAAATGGATGGTAAGTAGATACATAGATGTGAAAGATTCAAGGCGAAGGTAACAAGTCGTATCCTGAAAGGTGAGAGTGACTGGTGGTGAAAGTGGTAGAGTGAAAGTGGTAACAATAACAAAAAATATAGATAATTGTATGGTGGATTTACTGCTTTGTGGATATGGTGCTATGAATACTTGTTGTGTGACATTTATAACAGTGGTGCAATTCAAGTCTGTCCGTTGTGCTAATCGTAAGATAATCCTGGTCAATAAGTCTATCATTCTTCCGATACTTTAAAAACTGTGTTAAGTCCGAACCAGGTTTTGCGGTGGCATTGTGCTTGTGCTGCTGTTCCCTATTTTATGCACAAGCCGACATTCCTTTGATGTTACATACTATAAAAGGAGCATTGTGCAAGAGTAAGTATTTAAGTACGTAATCCTCTACGCTTTCTTGTCCTGCTGCCCACCACCACAGCCGTCCTTTCCCTTTGTCTCACTACCAACGCTGTCCTGTAAAAGCTTTGCTGATTCTTCCGGCTTGCTGTTATCTTTGTCCCGGTCTCGATCCTTATCCTTCGACTTTGATCGAGGTGGTGCTTTTGGGGAGGGGAGAGTGCTCGAATTCTTATTGTTGGGGGAGGACGAGGATTTCTTGTCCTCGGTGGCTATTGATGTCGTCACATTGTTGCCGAGACACGTGACGACACTACTTTTCCGCCCAACGCCTGCACCGTTGACGTTGGTGGCTGAGTCGTTTGATGCGGCTGGAAGAGAGCCAATAATTTTCTCAACGTCCTGATCAGTCACGGAGGGCTCGTTGACTTTAATTTGAGGTACGTCCCGCCTCATGTTAAGTCTGTTGAGTTCCCAGGTGAAATAGACGCGCATTAGGATTACAAATATGCCAAGGAGGAGGGCTGCGGAGCCTGAAATGGAGGACAACAAATAAATATGGTAAAATGCATAATATGCACGAAGAAGTATGCATGCAGGGTGATGTGATGTCAAAGCAAATTTTATTAGAATTTGTCAGCTAGTCCAGCCCATTTACCAGCGATGATGAGTGGAACGCCATATGGGTTAGCTTCAGCTCCCGGGGTGAGTTGAATTAGTCCGATGAATAGAAGAATAGCTCCCACCAGTGGTGCCTGCATGTTTAATTTTGCGTAGTAAGTATTTATAAACACACATACATACTTTCTCCACCAGCTTGTTGTTCATATGCAGAAAATGCTACTCACCAACACGCTCAACTGGAAAATGCACCGTTTACTAAGAAAATTTCTGGCGAAACGGTGGTGTGCCTTTTCCCTCTGGCTGCTATATCCTCCTGGGGGCGAGTTGACGGGGGATGGAGTGGGCGTCACTTGATGGTTGGTCAGCGGGGGTCGAAAGTGCAGGGAAAGTTTGTGCGGTCGACTCATAAAACCAATCGAACCGTCCGTCTTTCCCTTTCCTCGCACCGCGATGGCTGGCCTAGATTTACAAATTAAAGACGCATTTTAGTTTTCATAGTCATTATGAAATCCTTCCTGAGAATATCTTAAATCTTACATGGCTCCAATCATCTTGACAATGAGTTTCCTGTGGAAAAGAAAGCATTTCAGTAAAAATTTACATATTTCCCATATCTGTGGACACAATTTAGCACGAATTTGGCAATATGAAGGTGAAAATAAGTGGAGAAAGTCCTGCTCATTTGTATTAGCGAGATGTATTTTTTTATTCTTTGAGAGATCAGTTGATAAATAAGTTGTACATCAGAATATAGAAAAGATCTTAAGTACAGTTTTCTAAATTATGTACATTAATTAAAAGGTAATTGTAGGATTTTGTTTATATTTATGTAGATACATATACGCATATGGGGCATAATGATTAAGCCTAATTGATTCATCATAGATAGATAGATAAGCAGTTTGATTATAGTAACCTTACACGTTATAATAGTGTTTTGCATAATTGATTTTTGTATATATGTGTTTCATGTATTTTGTGAGCTATACATAATTTATTGGACAACTTACTCAATGCTAGTAAATAATTGTTAGTAACGTGCACGGTGAAAGTTATATACATAATTTATACATAATTTATGTATATGTAGATTTGTTGAGTTTAGTGAATAGTTGCAATAATTAGTAAATATTTATAATTAAATAATATAATTGATCATGAGAGATATTACTTTTACTTTACATCTAAAGAGTGATAATGTGATCACAAATGCGTTCCAGTAGGTTTAATCATTCGCCAGGAATACGTAATTTCTTAAGCAAAGTAGCGAAACAACAGCGAAATTACAATAGAATAATTTGTTTAATCTCGCGATTAGTAACGTTCTTTCATACATACGCGCAAAGTTCTTAATTTAACACAAAAATCATACATACATGATTTTTTATCGTACCAAAAAATCATTCTTGAGTAAACGTAAACGTTGACATAATTTTCACACTGGTTTAATTAAGTAGTTATGTAATTGATTAATAAGAGGTATTAAGGCGGAGAGGAGCAAAAGTTTCAACTTGTCTGGTTACTTAAAAATTAATTAATTATTTTTTCCTGGCATAGAAATCAGTTAATACTAATCTCACATTAAAGCAGGTTTTTGATTATCTCTTTCACAACAGTAAATTTTACGTTAAATAGTTACGTATCATGTGCATATGAAATGAAAGTGATTAAGCCCATGAAGCAAGAGAGGAAACTGGCAAAATTCATAGTTAATCACAGCCGGCAGAATAATAATTATGTTACTTTCACTGCTTTTTTATACATTATTCAGACATTTATACCTATTCCCACAATTCTGTCATTTTGGTGCTGTAGTCAGCTTAACATATGTCACAGCGGTATATAGTTTTGTATCGTAGTAATAAATACGTTAGCAAAATGTGATCGACATTTAAGTAGCTTAGTAAAAACGTACACAATGGAGTGTGTGCCGTGCTGAAAATAAATCTCTTTCAGTTAAATGCTTGGACGAAGGAAAATGAGGATTAGCATTTCTTTTCTTTGTTAAGAACGTGGATGTCTAGGCTCAAGGCTTGGCTTAAATTAGTTAGTTAGTGACTGAGGTGATCTTATACTTATGGATGCATATACCTAATCCGTGGTGCTTGAAGAATTTGGCATTCACATATATTTTTTAGATACCTACCCATCTACTTAAGTACAATGCATGTATTTGGTGTGTGCAGTAATACGAACAACACACAATGAACGCCAATCTGCAGACATGAAACCGTCGAATGTGTTAATTGGCGTCATTCCGCTATTTTCATGTGTATCGTTACATTCAGTGCGATAAATTAATTAATTAATTTCACCTTAGGCAAAGTAGGAAGAACATGGATCAGAAGTGGAGTGCATTTTCGTGCCAAGAAGGATAAGTCGTTTTTGGTTAATGTTGCAGGTTTTTTGGATTGGATCACAATATGTGTGTACACGTTGTTATACGTGTACATCAAGTTGGGTGGTTATCATTACACCATAAACTTACATGTCTCACTTATATAACGAATCATAAATGCAAATAAAAAACGGTACATACAATAAAGGTTGACATTACTTATATAACGAGAGATTTTTAGCCGTCTCAATTTTGATGATACACTTTTTTCCATGTGAAAATATTGGAAGGGTGGAAAAATGAAATACGTACATACATATGTATTTTTCTATCATTAGAGGACTGTAAACTCGTTATTAAATATACACGGATGAAAAAATTAAAGTTTGCTCAACTCGACAAATCGATGAACATTACAAGAGAAAGTTGTTTGCTCTGTTTTTATGTACTTCTCGAATAAGTAGTACGTACAAGTACAACGTACACATGCAGATATACTTATGGTAGCAAGAACTCTGAACTTGCTTCAGAGCGATTTCTGAAAGACAGCTGAATAATTGATGCGCTTTATGAACCTGGGTGGCTAGAGATAATCAGAATAAAAAGCACACGAGCGTATAAAAAACATATTATTCATACGTACATATGGTCATGGCAGGAGAGGAGAAAGGCAAAGAGACGGAAAGAACAACTCATAAAATTTGCAAAACACATTGACTCCCAGAGAAGAGAAGTGCAAAAAAAAACCGCAAAAAATAAAGTTCCTGTATATCTTTAACAGTGTTTTGCGGTGGTATGTATGTAGGTGTATAATAAAGCGATAATCAATATAAACGAGAAAGCAGAGATTGCCTGAACGCTTTTTTGCCTAATACGTATAAATCGGTGTCGGACAAACTTTCTCTTTCCTGCTTTCACTCGTATCTAGTCGTGCGGCGTGTACAAAAAATATTGCCGTTGTTACGAAAGCCTCGCAAATAACAATGATTAAACCCCTTGCAAATTATAAACCAGCCACTCCGACATGAATTTGAACCATAAGGAAATGCTAATTAGGATTTATACATTATAATAATATAAGCCTCGCGTGTTACACTCGTATTACGCTTAAATAAATCTGGCACAGCTGAATGTCGTCGGTTAATGGTTAATTAGACTTTAATTATGCCGTGAACTTGAAGTAGGTTTATCTTCTGAGGGAAATAACTAATAGTTGATTGGATTACGTGGTCCCGGAACGATTTGCGTTAAATTTAAATTACAGTACATACCGAAATGGAGGTATAGTATGTTGTAGTAGTTGTTATTTATGGTTACGTGATAGAATATAGGCCTAAATTCACAGGTGTCTTTTAAAGGATATTGTTGTACAAGGGAAACAAAGGGTTTGAGAGAGGTGGAGTAGATCGTAGATGGTATTCTACATGATTACACATAAATGTCAAATTTTCGATCGGGTGAAAGTGCATATTTACTTTCACTGCACAAGCACCACCAATTTTCCACGCTTATAAAACAGTACTTGAGTTAAATTGAAAGGACCTTGTGATGATTATATGCTTCCTCACAGCGTTGAATTATGGGGTGAAAGTATGTACGTATAAAATGGGTCTAAATATGTGTGAGGAGGGGGCAATGCATGGGGTCACACCTACTCACGTACAATACATATAATTTTATCCACATTCGTACTTTGCACGACAAGAGTAGGTAACCTAACTGTGAACAATTTGCGAAAAAAGACTATAATATAAAAGTAACACAATTTCCTCCTCCTCCGAGCTCGACGTGACACGACGACACGACCACCACTCACATTGTCATTTCATTTCATTTCTTCAAGTAGAGCAGCAACAGTGGGTAGAAATTGGTGAAAGTATGGCGTTATTATATGTACACGGCTGCTGCTTGGTGCTGTCGTGTTCTGTCATATCCATTTAATCTGAGGATATCATGAAGAGAAATCACGCAATGAGCACATCCATGAATGATGATGAAAAGTTGGGGCAGTATGTAGTTGACGTGTGATATATCAGATTGACCCAGTTGCATGGTAGCAATATGCAAAAAGTCGTATTTTAGACGGGACACTCCTCTTCCGGTTCTTTTTTCGTGGTTAGAAAACCATTTAAGTTCTGGATGGAGGAAGTGAGTATGGTCGAACAACCACAAAAGAGCAGCCCAGGTCGGTTTCGTATGGGAGATAAAGATTTTAGTACGAGTACAAGATTTTAACACTTTGATACCATACGTGGAGAGAATATGGCTTGAAAAAAGGAGAGAAAAGTTTGGGCGCACAGTTGAACATCATCAAGGGTCGTTTTTGGGGCACATTTAATCACTGGTTGGTCATGTACGACATTTACAAAACCCTTAATATTTCAAATATACACACGTATCTTCATCTTCAGGGTCTACGCGGTTGTCGCATTGTAGACGCGGTACAAGTTACCACTTCGACCCAATCCGGCTGGATCGTCGCCACCGTGAGAATTTTGCCTGCGGAGATTTTCCGTCTCTTCGTCAAGTCTGTCGAGAGTGACGCCGCCGGCGGAGATTTCACCCCCTCTCCCTCCAGGATTTGGACTCTTGTTGTGCTGGTAGGAGTGATTATGTTCGTTAATGATGTTTACTGTGGTTGTTTGCGGTGGTTGGTGATGGTGACTCCCATGCCCAGAACTTTGACTTGGGCCGGACATGTTGTCCTTGTTCTTTTTCTGCTTCTTGTCCTTCTTTGATTTCGGAGCATCGTTGCTCATCCCAGAGTCCATGGAGGGTGTTTTGCTGAGAGTGTTGTCATCCAGGTTTTCTGGGTAAGAGTCAGTCTCGTGGTATAACCTGGAAAATGGTAATTTGCAAATTTATGTACAGTGAGCTTAAAAATTCATACATTGTAAATTATTTAATGGGGAAAAATAACTCTGCCCACCTTTGACCAGACCTGGATCGCCCGAGACGCGTCTCCACATAATTTTGTAGTTCTTCTTCCTCCTTCTGACCGTAGAACCGATTGAGGATGACAAGGAAGAGACCGATGACGAGGCAAATAATACCAGTTCCGATTAGTTCTGCAATTTCGGCTTGATTGGTTTCATTAGTAATGATGGCTGCGAGCATTAAGAACAGTCCGACGGTTAAGAAGATTACGCCGACGTGTGACATTGTTATTGTGCCCATGACCTGGTCGAGATGGTAAAACAACATGGTCAGAATTGACGACGATTGAGAAAGTAAGGAAATACCAGACCATCATTAATCACAGTTTGTTTGTTTTTACTAAATTACCCCATTAAAAATTCTGAGTGAAAGTCAACCCATGAATTAAATGATGGTCCAATACTCTGAATAAACTCTTAAAAATTTACCTTGTTCGACATATCTTGCTGTTGTCGCTGTGCGTCGGTAATCGGTGGTCGCCGACCCCTCTTTTTAGCCGCCTGTTCCCTTCGGCGCCTCTGGCGCTTAATCGCCACCGCCGAATGCGCCCCGATTCCGTGCATTTTATGTCGTTATGTTATTTTCCACTCGGAAATTAACAATTTTGTCGTTTCACTACTTGGCGACTACACAAGAATAACTTAAATAACCAGTATATACTTGATAAGCGAGGGAGTCCGTGTGTAGGTATCCTCCCACCACCACTTGCGACACTCTATTCTTCGACTACATGAATACACTGCGTTCACCCAACAACCTCCCTAATCGCTTCTTCTGAAAAGGGTTGCGCTTATACGACCGGGCTACAATTGGACTTATCCTTGTTTGCCAAGTATAATCTCCTCTTCGCCACCACTCGCTGCCCGTCTACTCGTGTGTGACACAGTTCCGTGGGTCAGATCAACGGCGAGGAGAGGAGGAAGCAGCAGCAGCAGTCATGGCGAATTTGATAGTTTGGTGGGTCGTTGCAAGATTGGATTTTATATGAGCAGGAGAAAGTTGTGTATGTGTGTGCGAGGGGAAGAGAGAATGTGTGTAGATAGTCGCCGTATGTATGTACGAGTAGTTGAGGTTGCAGTTGTACTGCGGTAAAAGGAGCAGAGAATGAGCAACCCTTCGTGGAACGAACCAGACCCCACGAAATAATGTGAATCACGTAGGAATGTAATATCTAAAGCAAACACATAGGCGAGTAGTCAGGTGCTTAGAAAACTCGTATGTGTTGCTGCTCTATGTCAGTGTAGCAAATTTGGGCCTGACAAGATGGTGGAGGACCTACTACTTACTATAGCAGAAATGTGAAAGTATACCAGTCCACCACCACCACCACTAGTGGAAGAAAGAACGACTCGGAGCGAGTGAAAGTACGCAGCGCAACTGGAACATTTCTCCAGCCACTCCAGCTCAACAGAGCGTCTGGGATAGGTTTAGAGTAGTAGTTGATGCTGGATGGATGGAGGATGAGGAGGATATACCCGGGTATCGTATAAGGTTAAGTGTTACAAAGCAGCGGGTGAAGAGTGTGGTGGATGGATATATGGTTATTAAGTATAAGGAGAATTAAGGGTCACCAGCAGTTTGGGTGAACGGCAACTTTCTTTCTCCGATAATACTTGTTCATTGGGATTGCACATCATTTCTAATGGGGTGACTAATTCGAAGTTTTTTTGCCGTAATTTCTGACCTATCCCCTGAATCCACACTTTATGACGGAGCCACTTATAATTCTCTTCTGAAACTGTTGAACAATGCAGGCTGTTGGGAGTCTATCTGTCCAAAGGAGAGGATCGATGCTACCCAACGACTTTCTCCACACGCTTTTCATGATCTCCAGCCACGAGTATTTGTAATAGTGGTAGGTTGCATACGTAGTTTGTTAGGTTGGCATGTTGCTTTTTTAGACGGGTTAAAAGAGTTGCAAAGTTGAGATTGGAACAGTAAAATGTACTGACAGCGTGTATTCAGCCATATAAAGTATGCCTGCCTTTTCGCTCTTCTGTAAATAATTAATCTTACGATGTGTGTAATCTTTATACCTTGAACATTGCTGCAATATGCAGTTTAGTAAACCACAGATCTCATTATATGAAGTAGACTATGTGCTTTAGAGGGATCCGCTTATCATGCATAAATAAATAGATTGAAACTACAATAACTTCGAAATTTACATTCGAAAATTAAAATTTTCAATTTTAATATGATGATGCTAATTTTGCACTTTCTCTCTGGAGCTGCAGTAGAGAAAAATTTGCGAATGACAAAGCAAAATGACTAATAACCCCCGTCCAATAGCAGCTCTCGCTTAATCCAAACTTTGAACATACACATTTCTCAAACCCAAGAAAAGTGAGATTTATCTTCAGCCAGACAAGTGAAGTTGTACAAAGTGAAGTTGTACAAAGTGTCATTCCTCTCTCTGGACAGATGTAGCCGTTCTTGTGTGCGACAGGAAAGCCTTGTTTCTTTCTGCCGTGTGCACACCATAAGACGACGAGCTTAACTTTTCTGTATGAGAACCAACAGCTTGATTCACTTAAGTAGCACCTGAAACATAACATGAAAGCTAAATAAAATCTTTATCTCTTCAAGATTTACTTTCTTCCTTTCCTCCTCGAAATGTCATGTCATGTATTATGTACGAATGTTGGGAAATATTGCATGAAAAATTCTTCAACCTGCGCGTATATACAAGTGAATATGTGTTCAAATAATAATGCCAGTCGTATCTCCACTTTTACAACGAATGCTTTCTCCACGATAATATCGGAAGGGGTCAAAGTATGGCGAAAGTGATAGGCATGTCTCCTCCAATTGCGTTTCCTTTCATTTACACTTAAGGTGCAAAGTATTTTGTGTGGGTTGAAAAAGTCAGTAAGGATTTTACTTTCTCTTTTCGAAAGGTCAGAGAGTCCAGCCTCACATTTTTCTTATTCTTATGTCTTATCTTTATGTTCTAGGCGTATGACTTTTACGTGACTTGCGCGGTACTTTTTACAGTGTGGTCGTGGTCGTGGTGGTGATGGCAGATTATGTTGTTTGTTAGGATCTCCGACTTTCTCAGAAACTTTGAAAACCTCGCAGTAAAAATTTCACGCTCTGAAAGTCAGGGATTTTATAAAAGACGTGTTTATGGCAGATGGCACTTCTTTTCTCGTTATGACATTATGGTTGACAATCAGAGTAAATCAGATTTGTGATGTAATGTGATGTTGACTTTTACCCTTCTCTGAATTTTCTAAGAATTAAAACGTCCTAGTTTCTAGACTGGCTTTCTTCTCAGTATGTAAGTAATTTGGCTAATTGAATCGTTGATGGTGAGATGTGCCTACGTTTAGGATGAAATTCAAGTATCGATCCACACACAGCAGTGTTTGTCGTGGTTGGAATTTCATAAATAAGAATGATTCGAGGTAATATCTAAAGCCCCGGCTTCCAAGAAGTTCAGGCTTCGTCAAACGGAGATACCCTTTCACGTACTTAGCTCTTTTAAACCGATAGGGATTCAGTGTGATCTGTCCTACCAGGAAATGATGCATCTGAAGGTAAGCATTTGCATGCCATGAAGGAGTTGATGTCATGAAAAACCTGTTACTTTTAGACGTATGCAATCTAGATAAAAGGAACTCGAGAGGAGAAAAACTTGGTCGCTCTACAGGTTGGCACTTAGTCTTTTCTCATTCAGCCAGTCAGTCAGGCTGTGCATGTCAACGTGAAAGAGTGAAAAATCTTTCCCCGTGTCTTGTAAGTAAAATACGTAAACCTGAGCCGGCGGGGTTGTTGAGTTGATCGACGTTTTTTTATCTCTTTTCTCCTTCGCTTTCACCACCAACCACGAAAGCCTGCTGGCACTGGGCAGACAGGAAATTTCTCTACATTTTCATTATTCCGTCTCATCAGGACGGAACAGGTGAACACATGCACAAAATTCACACCGAGATAAGCTCGCATAAATGGATGGGTGCTCGTTTATTTGCTTATCTCTTAGTCATTTCTGGGAAATTGATCCGGTCAAAATGGCCAGGGATTAGGTCCATATGAGCAGATTTGAACTGGATGATCCGTCAACTAGATCCAAAAATTCAGAGAAAGCACCAAGAACGTCAGTCGAAAACACTATTTCCGTCACTAAAATCAATCACATCAGTTTCACTCCTGTTAATCGTCAGAAACAAGAATATTTGTCCAGTTTTAGCAATGCAGACGAAACCGAAGAAAGAAATGCAATGTTTGCTGCCATGTTGTTTGCTATTTGTTCGTCAACCCGAAAACAAACAACTTTTACAGACTCGCCAGTATGTCTCTCATTCTTGATGCAATGATATCGCTGAACAGTATAAAGTCGCTAAATACACAGTTCCGCCGTTAATCGGTAACTGGTTCCATTTCATGACCAGCCAACGCTAAATAAACTGTAATGTAATTCCATGTCAGACTGCAAAGTGATGTCAATGTCAACGTCAGAAGAGTCGCCGCCCGCGTCAGTCCTCGCTGTCTTGTTGTCCTACATAGATGACTCGTAGCACTACATTTTCCTCCCATCATTGGGAAAGCAGCGAAAACTATCAAACTATCCGATTTCTGTCCAGAACAAGAACACGTTGAACGAACAAGGAGAAGCCTTATCTCTAAAATCATCACACATTTGACGGTTTGCTTCTCTAACTAATTGAGTTTTGTATGTTTCTGTCAAAACGAGGAGTTTGTTTATTTTGCTTGGGAAAAGTTGAAGGATGTTGGTTGATGAATAGTTTGGTTCCGGTGGAGGGCAAAATAAATTCATCATCATCTCCTCGTGCCCAGCTAAGCGCACGGAGGATTATGCGGCTAACCTCGGAGGGCACGGGGGAAAATACATATGTAGATATTCCTATCCTAATAACTCTAAAGGATGATCATCAATTTGCACAGGGTTTTGTGGGATGATGACATTCGCAAGTCTGCACCAGGAGGATTTTAGCTCTCATCGACACACAATTCCGCCATCGTCGCCCCATTCAGAGATTGCTGTCATCTTCTCCATACACAATGCTAATAATACCATTCATCGAACTTATACAAAATACGACGACAGAAGAATAGTTTGCATTGTTACGTGCTTATTAGGCCACGAAGCCCGCTAACAAAGCAGCTACTGTAACAATAGGGAGAAAGTTTTGATGAATGTGGAAAGTTGACAACTCTGCAGAAATGACAGTCCAACAAAGTTGTTGAGAGTCGTTCGAGCAAAATAATAAGGCACCACCGACAAGAAATGGTAGCCATGCTAATTATATTTGCATAAATTACTTATACGCCTCCACTACTGCCCAAAATTAAGCAAACACACGCTATTAATCTTATCTGATTTATTATTCAACATTGGTGGTTTCGTCACATTTTGTGTGAAAATATTTACTGACTTGGTTCTAATTTAGGAAAGGTATTTCCTTAAAGGAGGTGATGCTGTATCATAAATTATTTATTGGGAACTTCCCCTTGTTCGTATTAAGAAGACAGGTGTCTGAATTTTTAAATAGATAGCTATCTTTCCGCTAATGGACTTCACGTCGTGTTTCATCAAGAGGAATTTATTATGTCAATATGTGCATTCATTTGCACAAAACACGACCCATTTAAAGCTGACACCACCCCGTTAAAATTGCTTATACATAATCAATCGCTTCCTTTAATAGGGATTCCGCGAATGAGAACAAAGATGAGTAAGAAATATGTACATACATAAATGTTCAGCCTGCCTACGCCAAAGTTTATTTTCAACAATGATCCCGGCAAACTTTCTCCTCGAGCTGTTTGGATGTTTGGATGGATGGTGTGTGCATTATTCTATCTCCTTTGAGGATCACCACCACCCACACTCAAATTCAAATCTATTCTGCTTCACTCAAAATGAATGACATTGATCGAGTCGCTTCCTGTTCTTTGAATAAAAGTCGCTGATGTCAATACCGATATGGATTTCGGGGTATAAACTTATTCATTGGATTTTCAATGCTCCCAGGAAATCAGGGAAGAGAGGTGGGTGGTGGAATTTGCTTTCGTTTCTGACGTGATATTTGTCATATACAGACAACAAACAAATATGTTAGGCATGCTGAGTGCGTACCAAATTAGATGGATACAAGAATACGTAATGTTAAATTTATGCTACCCGTGTAAAACCGAAACGGTTCGGATAACATACTGTTAGAAATCCGGTGTTAAATCGTCACCGTACGGTGTGCATGCGACTATGGTGTTTTTCACCACATGGTGACAAATGGTCACTGGCTGGTCTTACTTAATTTTATCACCATTAGGTGAATACATTATCACTGTTCGGTGAAGTCACATATGCACACCGTTGGGTGACGATTATGTAACACCGGGTTATTAAAAGTTCATAAAGTAGTAAAACATGCCCTTTAAAGCAGTTAAACTCGTACTTTATAAACTATTTTACTGTTTTCTGCCACTTAGCAAAGTATGCATTACTTTCAACGAGGAGAAATATGAGATAACGAACTTTAACCTGGGTCTCTGACTCTCTGTCAAGTTTGAATGTAGGTGAGAATACAGGGATTTGAAACTGATCTCTTTTAAATCTATGTATGAATGCTCGCCTGCCTTCGGGGGAAGCACATATACACATGTTTTTCCATTAATGCCAACTTTTGACTTCCCATGCCAAGAAATATTACCATACAATCGTCGCTTTTACTGCGACACAGCGTTCAGTATCGGAAAAAAACACGCCACAGAAGTGTCGGCTCCTGTCATTTCTCATGCTGCTGAATACGACTGTCCTTTTTACGTGCACTTGTTTCAACGTATTATTATGTTACGGCATATTTAACATGAAATACATGACATGACTCGATTGAAAAGACGTGATAAATCTTTCCACTCCTTTGTGAACGTCCTCCTTGTGAAATTTTACTTTGTTAAATTCTTGCAGAGAAAAACAGAAACAATGATGATTCCTACCTTGTAACATGTTTTTTTGGCCCAATCCATAAATTAAATTCTTGTCTTTGGCAATAAATAAAAATACAGAGGGGCACATACACGTCTAATAAAAGGTGTTTACGGTTTATGTTTATTATAAGTCATTCCGGAGTTGGGACTGGATTTGCTTGATTTTCTGGCACGCACAAGTTGAAGACGTTCGTTAATATGTATATAAAGGAAACTTATTATGGGTTTATTTTGTGTACTTGCTACATACATACATATATTTATTTCCTAGATTCAGATTCCCTCGATCTGCTCGAGAGTAGGAAAAGGAAATTTATCACTAGGTTTTGTTTAGACAAGTCTTGCCAAAAAAGCTATAATAAGTCCTCTGAATACGTCTCCTATGAGGCTGCCATGTAACAGTGCCATTGTTTCTACTTGGGGCAAACAGTACTAGTAATTGTGATAGTAATTGTACCCGTCTAACTAATAGCGGTGGTCGGTGTTCTTCAAGATAATGGTGGCAGTGGTGGTGGAGGAATGGTAAATAGTTATCTGTATTTAACAGCTTTTTCAAATCTGTGTCAGTCAGTAGTGGTGATGGTTGAATGACTGTATTTTGGGTGGCCTGGCAATTCGGTGCAGCTTTCTCTCTAAATTATTAATTCCCTTAGCCCGTTTTACTCCGGAAACTGGAATATTTTACAGCGAGCGAGTGAGTAAAATGTTCCACATTTCGACACGGCCACAAAAAAAAACACTCGCGCATAACGTATTATGCAAATGGTGATGATGAACATGTAGTACATGCCCAGAATGCTATTATTATTATTATTATGTAATAAGAAGCGTCATAAAAATAAACTTACGAAAAAAAATGAAGCTCAGTTTTTTCTTCAGTTGATTCTGGCTGGTTGGAGTTATATTAATAATGTCGAAATTATTTCAAAAATCTTCCTTTGAGATTCCGCATGTAATTGTGTTGCAGTTATGCGATCACATTTTGGTTGGGCTGAAAAATTTGAGATAATGAAAAACACGGTTATGATAAAAGATTTTAAGTTGAATTACCAATTACCAATTATCTTTTCTGGAAATTATTTGATTTTTCATGATATCTTTAACACCGTAGAATAATAATCTGGATCAATTCACGCGTTTGTTGACAATGACCCCAAGTCGTTCAATGTTATTAATAAACTAATAAATACCAGTTTTATACATGTGTCTGATTGACACCTTGATAATGATGAGTGATGAGTCCGATTTATAATTATTGACCAAACATTGAGTAGAAAGTTTCTGGTATCAATAGTGTTTGGTCAGTAAAGTGAAAGTTAATTTCACAAATCATGAACAAAAAGCCCACTAATTTGTTCAATGAATAACAAACGAAACTTGCACGCAACACCGAATAATTATCAGTCATACAACAGTCACGAACCCAAAAAGTTGTACAAATTGGAAATGGAATGAGAAAAAGATATTGGTAGAAAATCCTACTTTTTGCTTGCTTTCACTCACTGCATTTTTAATATGGGCCGTTTTATTAAATTATCCTTTGCCGTATTATTACTCTGATTGGCATTGTGTATTTATTATTCAAACGATTTTTAAATTAGTTTTAAAATGATATTATTTTCCAAATTTAATTATGTTGATCACCCATTGTTTACGATTTCTTACGTGAAGAAGAATGCACCGTAAAATCCTAATAAGTAGCTTAATGCACTCGTATTTTCACTGATTTTTGCACGAACCGACTTTTCACACTTGCTGTTAGAACAGTATACACGACGTGACTATTGGTTGGTTTGGCGTTTCGTGCAGGGTATTTATCGGTCTATGGAATACGTGTGAAACTATTGTTATTTGCATTCGTTCGTATTGTCTTATGAAGAAGCATATTGGGCAAGAAAGAGCAGGAGAGGGACGACGTACGTACAACAACCACACACTTGCCTTGCTTATTATTATGCATGTGCATTTAGTAATAGAAAAGTTAAACCCGAGCAGTTAAAGAGATTTCTTTCACACGCTGAACGTCCACAAGTTCGGTGGATTCGGATTTGCTAAATACCGAAGAAACGAGACTCGGTCGGTGCTCTCTCACTACGACGAGGACTCTCTCCAACCAACACCAACCAACTGCTTTCTTGGTCTCTGAAAACTGCCAAACTCACTCTCTCGCAATTCTTACTTGGAGAGTAGAACACACGGCACGGAAAAATTGTGCCCAGCAGCAGAGAAGCACGAGATCGCGAGGAAAAGCAGGAGGATGAGAAAATGAGCCCAGATGAAATTTTTACAAAGCTTTTACTGAAACTTCTTGTAGGGGACGACGAGAGAACGAGCGTATGTACTTATGTATTTCTAGTAAAATGGGCATCTCTCCGCCTGAGACGGACGACCCAATCCGGGCAACTCTCGCATTTTGCATGTACCAAGAAACCTACGGATTCCAAATTTCGTTGGAGGCAGCAAAACTTGGTGGTTTTATTGGTAAATTAACTATAAAGGAAGGGAGAACGACTGTGTGTTTGTGTCTTCTTGCGATGTAGTGGTAGATAGATATGTAAATCTCCAATATTTGAAGCATCAACTCATCAGTCTTGTTCTTATCGAGGAGAGATGCGCAGTGAGTCAGAGGGGGAGCGAGGGAGTAGTAACGTTCCCAGCATAACATTTGTCTAAAAATGTGGGGAATTCACATGAACAGCTTTTTCAGAGAGATGTTCGGTTGATAAAACTTTAGGTTTGTTGCGTAACGTAGATGATTTCGCAGGTTCTTTAGACGGATGATACTTTAGTTTAGTTAAAGAGAATAAAGAGAATTGCTGATGGAGGGGGAAGAAATTGTGTGTGTGTGCAGTCAAGCAAATGGAAAAGGAAGATCCGGATTACTTTAGGCAAGAAGAAGGCGATTAGCAACTCTTTTTGAGACGGGAAGCATGTAAGAGTGACGCACTCATGTGAGTTGGGTTTATGTATAGAATTTCATCTCACCAGTCGTCGTCCAAAGTATGTTGAGATCAGTCAAGGGTGGACAACATTTAGAGAGAAAATTGTACAAGAGAAAATAATCTAATCTTATTTGGAAAAAGGCACGTAAAAAGAAAAGTGGACGAAATAAGAAGGGGTATAAATTGGACTATTTTAAAGCCCTTGATGACAACACGAGCGAACGAAGCAATCGCCATTCCGGTGGATTGAAGTGAGACTGGTGAGGAGTTTCCAATGTGCTTGACTTGTAGTTTATTATTTATTACGTACATGACTCGGATGCAATTTACAATTTCAAACGATGATGATTTCAGATTCACACTGCAATTCAGTCGAATGCAGTGGGGGCATCGGGTTATTAGATAGTAATGACGGTAATAGTATGAAGTATGTAGTTTAACAGTCCAGGCAGTACCATTCGACTTGTCCGGATCCTGATCCGAAACGGTTCTTGGTGTATTTCTCCATGTCTCCATGTCTGGAAAGATTGAATTTGTTAGTAATACGTCGATGTATCGTCTACTTTTAATAATATAATTACCAATGAGGAAATTGGACGGTTGAGCGTTGCGAGTACAGCATCCGTTGCAATCGGAGTCGGCGCAGTGGTCGTAAACCTTGGCGTCAATTGTTCTGGATCCTTGGCGAATTCTGAAAGTTTTCAGCTTATACCGTTCTCCATCCTTGGAATGGACTGCGATAATGTTATTTGCTGCGACCCAGCTCTCAGGTTGCTTTCCAACCAAATAAGCGAAATATCCGGACCACAAGCATCCATTGTAGATCTACAATCGAATAATTTTTTTAATTATCTTATTTTTCAAGTCATCGTGGTAAAATATGTACGTACGATGCATTCGTCGCTGTTGGGATCAGGATAGGACTCGTACCATGTCAATTCAGCTCGTTGCCAATTCTGTGCAGCTACGTGTTACATGGGATAAATAATTAAAATGCAACTCTAAATTTTATGCGATTTTGTAAATTTTACTGAAAATTACCAGAGCTTCCCAAAAGCACGAAGCAGAACGCGAGCAAGACTGCGACTTTCATTGTAATTGATTTTATTTTCGGGACAACGGCAACGGCAAGGAATACCAACTTATGGCATGTAATTTTGTATTTATATCAATTTTTCAACGAAGTTCCATGTGCAAAAGTAATCATACATCATTTTCCTGTCAAGGTGTATTGATTGACAAGTACTCGTAATAGATTAATGTGTGTGTTACATACATACATTATAATAAGCATAATTCACAGATAATTGGAAAATTGATTAATAGTCAAAAAGTTATTAATCAGGTTTTAAGTGCATACATGCGCGATTGAAGCTTATAAACACATATTTTTCATATCATTTAACTCGTACAGCGAATGAGTAACAGATTAAATATGAGTTTAATTAAGAATTTAAAAAATGATGGGTCTGGATCGATCAAGTTTGTTATGAAACACTGATATCATTGATCACTTCAATTATTAGATTATTATTCGCAAAACACTTGATAAATAAGTGCTGATGGCTGATTGTAAGTGCAACATTCAATCATGGACGGACGGAGGGACGGATGAAACGTATATTATTTTAATCGATGATTCAAGCAATTATGTATTTATGGTGAACACAAAATATTGAATGCAAAAACAAATAATATTTGCACAAAGACTAAAAAGATCAATAGGATATCAAATTTTGAGGAATTGTTTACGAAGGTATCGCAGAAATCAATTAATTGTTATTATTAATAATTTTGTGACACATATTTGTACGGCTTGGATTTCATGGAATCATGAAATCCATGACCAAAACCTCGTGTATGATTGATCGGGTGCAATCGGAAATAACATTCTCAAATCGTGCAGGCATACTAAAAAAAGGTTCTGGCTGGAGGTCAGGTCAAGAATTTTATGTGCATAGTTTCCAAAATTGATAACGCACCGCACAAGTTAATTGGCGTGTACACAAGGTGGGCGTGTCGTGATGCATGGCTGATTAAATGTTCAAGGGCATCCTCTACCCTTTGGGAGTCGGGAAAAGCAAATTGTGGTGTTATGCAATTAATATGTACACATGCAATGCGCAGTGAAATCACTACTTTCACAAAGTGCAATGTAAGTAAACCATTGCACCAACGAATGTAAGTACATACGAAGCCTAATCGATGACAAACTCAAGTTTTATGATGCACAAACACGTCTTATTTTACTTTGATAAACACATATATGCAAATTTCATGCTTCTGAGATTGATTTACTGACTTGCTAAATTTAAATGTGGGTTAGTAGTTGGCAATAATAAATATGAGCCCCAGTAAAAAAAATCTCTCTTGAATATGCGATTGTTGACTCAGATGTGGATGGTTCCCCGATAATAATAAATGATCCGACGTTAGTGTGCATGCACTTTTTATTATTTTGCTTCATCATGCCGTTCGATTGCGGAAGTTTGAAAGTTAAGTCAACATTGATGACGCTGAAAAAAATTGGCTGGAGTAGAAATATGAAGATGTGAGACATGGATACATATTTGTTATTTTATCTGGCTGGACTAGTTTCTGCGCTCACTCAACACTCCGTACGGCCAGACAGACTGAACTTTAAAATATCCATTATTATTAGTGACTTGATAAGTCGTAAAAATATCGGGTAATAATATGTCGCAAAAAGTCAATATAAAATTACGACCGATTTTCATGTGGCGACTGAACGGAACGTGTAATCATGAAACTGAGAAACGACCCAAGTTGAAAGTACGTATTTAGTTCTTCCATCAAAATCTATCTGCATATTTTATGTGGTTTTTGTGATTGGCCAAAGGCAGGAGTCATTAGTAATACGTAATAAAGGTTACATGACCAATATTCAAAGAACGACTTATTTATAAAATATAAAATACGCTTAGGGAGTAGAGGAAAAACTCGATGTTGGTGGGTTGGGAAAACCTCTACTTGATTCGGATAGGCATCCGAGATCAGCATTCGACCCCTTACATGATTGATTTTTATGCATAAATTGATATATCACTTAAAATAAAACATAAAATAATTCTTCTAATCTCTTGCCCTTGGAAGAGCTCCCATGATCGATGTCGCATTCTCACGCTGAACGCCCGTGCTGATCTTTGGATGAGAAATGTTGATGACTTGGGATGACCAGTCACCAGTGATATTTCTCACCCTCTCCACTTTATTGATGAAATTCAGTTATTAATAAGGCCACTTTTCCGTAACTAATCTGTCTAGAATTTCAAAGAATCTTGCGAGACTTCACTTCACTCACCAAAGTGGCAGTAAAACCCGCATCTGTTTGTCATTTGGCAGTTTACTTTCCAACTTCATCTACTTCCGGACTTTGAGGGCATGTTGATAACTAAATAACTGAAGCGTGTACTGAAGCCTACTATATGCATACCTACTACATGCATATATAGGTGGCCGTACGAAAAGTCATGTAAGAGAGGAGGAAAGCTAATTAGTTCATGTTACTACCCCATTTCACCTAAAATCATGATGGCCTTCCAGTTTTAAGATTACAATTAAATTACATTTCATGCTTTGATGACGATGTCTTGTGGCAAACAGCAATTCTTGATTTGTAGCAGTCTTTCATGGCTAATAAAATCAAATAGTGTGGAATTAATGGAAGAAATTGGGTCAAGGTTAGTCATCTAGAATTAACAGAATTACCATAAAATTTTACATTTCTGAAGAAATGATCAGTAATAACATGAACTTTAGGATGATACTTAATGGTGTTTATTTCATTTGTTAGTGATGATACATTAATGCTCGTATATATCTACATATGGGCTATGAAGGAGCCACTGACATCAAAAATAATTATATTCACAAATGATGCGACAAATATTTATTATTATGCAATTCGTGATCTTCATTATGAAGTTATTGCCTTCTTATGAAATTGCCTTCTGCTAATTTGCACTTTAATGCGATGCGAGGCCACAATGGGGACACCACTCGTCTCCTTTTTTGCAGTCTGGTGTCGTCTCAACTCTCAAGTCTCATCTTTTCCAACCATGACAAGGTTTTCGGGAATTGTGTTGTTGTTTTGCATAGCAGCATCTCACTCAGCCATGGGAATGTTGCAACCTACGAAAATAGAGAACAATGGGTTGTACAGGCTGGAAATTCAGAGTGAGGATAAGGTAGGTAAATAAGTATGCCCACAATTTGTACTAATTCTTGTCATAAACAAGCACTTATTTTTGTCTTATCCAGTTTTTGACAGCCTCTGAGGCCGGAGTACCAGTCCGATCTAGATGGGGAAACAGACCTGATCAAAAGTGGACATTTACGGCAGTCAGTGGAGGTAAGTGTTTAAAAATTTAAGACAAATGGACCTATTTTACATAAATAAAATATGTACTTACAGATTCTGAGAAGGGATGGATGCTCACTCCGATTAATGGCAAACCGATTTCGACCCTGTGGAAAATTAGTTATGTTGGCCATGGCAAATATCGCTTTTTAAATGAAATCACTGGCATGTGCTTGGCAGGATCGGGGTCGAATGCCGTTGGAGAAAGGAATTGCGAGAAAGATTCTCCATATCAAAGATGGCTTGTGTTGCCGACACGGGAGTAGTGCCATTGAATGAAAGGAATGCCAACTTCCAAAATCAATTATTATTCACTTTTAATAAACTTTTAACAACACACTGTCTTTACAAATACAAGTTTTAGTGTATCCCAATCACTATTTTTATACATTAATATATTCATATGTAAAACGTCCAAATGGATATTAAGTATGTATTCTAAACCTGTAATAAAACACGTACGACGTAGTACACATATTTTCTATAGCTCTTTATAGTTGCGTAGATCTTCATTGATCGATTGAAATTTGAAGCCACAAGTCGCGTTATAAAACATTGTTGTAAATATTTTACAATTGTATAGTCTTATCTTGTATATCGTACATATATTTTATATATAGTTTGGTTTTGTTGTAACAAACGACATCAATATTAATATATAAAAGTGCAAATATGGGTTTGATCAATCAGTTTTGAATACGGATCATGTTTGTAACAATAACTTGTTTGTTGGATATTATCACTGATTTCTCAAACTTTCAAATCAAATAAATATTCATGTAACAAAAGCATTCTCACAAGAATAATTAAATATAATTGAACCGTTCATAACAAATAATTTAAGGTTTTACGTAATTATTCTTACGTTGTACGTACTTGCAAAACCATCAATATAAAATTAATCCTATAATAATAATAAATAATTATGTAAAAGTATTCTACGTAAACGTCCAGTAGATTTAACTCAACTCAGACTACAAGTTTGGTAACACATTCTTCTTACTCGAAATTGAAACTAACTTTAATCATTTGACGGGTTCATAGACAAGCATTAAAACAAGTTTTAAAAGTTGCATTTTGGTTTAAATAATTACAATCCATAATTACGAGTCGTTTGAAACGTCATCAAAATATTTCCAGTGCAAAATATCATCAAATTAAAATATGGAATCATCACGACAACGTCACATGTAACAACGTGGCGTACGACCCACATATATAGAATGCAAGGGTATATAGGTTATGAACAATATGTACGAGGGCACACGGACAGTAACAACGAGTTAGCTAATTTCTAAAATCGTTTTTCGTATTTTTGTTATTACATTCTGGAGCCTTTTTGCTGCAACACCTAAATAATTGTCAATAAAGAATATTAGATATCTGTTTTCTTTTTTTTTAGAAAAAGTAGTAGACAATTTTGAATTATATTCGTACCTTTGCACGATCATTGGATTGGTCTTGGACGCTAGAATTGCCAGAATCAATACATTCTCGAGACACGACACAGAGGAACTCGGAATGATCACCATTTCCGTAATTGTACTGAGAACCAATATTGACCAACTGCTCAAATTTCCACCCATCAGACATTGTGGACACCATTTGGGTCAACTCATCCTCATGACACTGCAAAACACGATACACGTGCTTCTTGTCCAGCTGACCACCTCGCAAGTCTCGTCTTCTTATCCTGTCTTTCACGAGCTTGATCAATTCCATTCTAGAATGTAGCAAGACAAAAACCAATTGCAAAAACTTATCGTATTAAATAATATGTACAGTGGGATTGAGTCAAAGATGCTACTCACATGTTATAAAATTCAGCTTCTTCCAACACACCTGCAAATAATTTTACACTATTATACGACAACTTCTTCCTTGAGTTATGAAAAACAAGGACTAATTGTACGAGTACCTTCTTCGGCCAAATCCTTATTGATAACTAATTTTCCGTGACGAAGGTAGTTGAGCACTGGCCCGAAATACGTTGGATCCCGATCTATTTAAACATTACATGATAAATCAAAAATAAATGTTTAATTGAAATCCAGATCAATTTAATGATTTAAAAAGTACAAACCTATTAAATAAGCTCCAGTCTCATCCTAATGAGAATAGTCATTAAATTGGAGATAAACAAGATTGAAAGAATACAAATTTATTGCTACAACTCACTTTGTACGAAATAAGGTCGGAGTCTTCTTGACACAATCTTTGAAGAAACGACTTTGGATCTGTTGAAAATCAGAATTTATTAATCTGGTATACATACAAGAATATCAGATTCTTTAATAAATATATTAAAACTGCTCTTACCCCGACACAAGGTTGTCTTTGTTGTAAGAAAAAGAGTCCCTCCCACATTCAGACGGACCCTGTAACACGAAAGAATTTAATTTTACAAAAGCCTGTATAAGATGGCCTGAATTTAAAATCATGGAAGACTTAAGGGCACATTTGTATTTTTATAAAGAATTGTTATTTGTTATAATTTTTGCTAACCACTGTCCCAAAGGAGGTGGTGCAAGTCCAGTCTGTCCTCCAATTGAGGACGAAGCCGAAGAGGATGTGGACAGCGAGGACGAGGGGAGGAAAGAAGATCCGTTGGTTCCCCCGGATGAGATCAATGGTGGTCTCTGGTTGTTATGATCTTCGTCTTCCTCTGGGGTCATGTTGTTTGCATTTGAGCTGTTAATGTTGGAATTGATACTATCATTTGTTTCAGAAGGACTTGACATGTTGAATGATGCCACGGCCTTATCCACTTCGTCTAAACTTGAATATCCACTGCTCATTGCCAATTCCACGAACAGAATCGTTGTCCAAACCCTAATCAGTCCCCAATACTAGTACTCGTTCTTTGGAATATTGTCTTTTATCTTGTTTTACTTGGGTCCTAAGATAAATGATAAAAAAACAATTAGCGCAACCATTCGACGTAGCGCGATACAAAAACCTACTCCAAGCAACCTCCAAGGGGCCTTTTAAGACGGCATTATTACATAAAAGCCAGACTCTAATGAACGATTGGCATATAATTTTTAGCCCGAACTAGGGCTTATGTAATCGACCTGTCCGTCTGTCTGTCTTTCCATAACTCTCGAAGGAGTAGGCTGATTTTTACCAAATTTGATACAGACATGCATCTGGGCAACGACCGAGTTCGAAGATGGGTATTAGTGTTTCTCACGGGTCGGGTTCTTGCAAATCCGAAACCCGAACCCGATACTACTGATCCGAAACTTGAGGGCAACCCGAACCCGAAGAACCCGAAACCCGTTTGCAAGGATCCGAACCCGAACTGGCGGATCAAATCCGAAACCCGAACCCGAAAAACCGAATATATTTTAACTTTAAGGGGTGACTGGCTTTTTAGCCTAAAGGTTTCAAACAAACAATACTTCTGTAAATATGACCGAGGAATTATAATTAAGCACATTTCTGCATTAGTACATAACGCATTTTAAAATGTGAATCTTAATTCCTCGACCATAATAATGCAATCTCAAAAAATCGACCATGGATAATGGCTTTCCGTGACATTCAGAAATTTTTAAATCAGTTGAAAACTGAAAATGATTTTCAGTTTCAAGTTTCCAATATTAAAGTAAGCTCAAGCTAACTATTTAGCAAATTTTTGATAAAAAAATATATTTTATTTCAATATTCAAACCATAACACTAATTGAAGACACTTGTGAAAAGAAGTTACGACAATTAAAAATTTGAATTATTTAATGAATTACTGCAGCATAACCGTCGTAGCAAGTGTGGTTAACACTTTATTTTCTTTTTTAATGTTTTCGTATTCGTTGTGGCAAAAAGTTCTTGTTGGTTCGGGTTTCGGGTTCTTAGTCGGAACCCGAACCCGACCCGAACCCGAAATTTTGGGCTCACATTTCTCGGACCCGAACCCGAACCCGAAAGTTTCGGGTTCTGAAATTTCGTATCCGAAGCAGGACCCAAACCCGATCCGAACCCGAAACCCGAAGTAAGAACCCGAACCCGTGAGAAACACTCGATCAAAAAACATTTAGACCAATGAGTGGTACCCTGGACACGATTATCACCTCGAAAGTATCCCTTGTTAGCTAACTTTTAATTTCAAGTTCTTTGATGAGAAGCCACTAATTGTAAGTATTACCGTGCCGGATTTCATGTTTTTAACGCAATTTCTAAAAATAGATATGGATCACCTCTCTCCCAAATTTCACTTCGATATGACGATTTTGAAAAATCAGTATGGGTCACCCCATAGGGTCCATCAAGATTAAAATTGTTCCAACCTAAATTCAGTTTTTTCTGTTACAATCCACTAGCAACCTTTGTTCCAAATTTCAACTACGTACTACAAATTTTAGAAATCCGTCGGGTCACCCTATCGGGTCTCCCAGGTTTAAAATTTCTGAAACTCCATTCCAATTTAAACGCTTTGAGGTCAGTCGCAATCTTCATACTAAAATTACTGAAAATTATTACTATAGATATTTTTCAAGCTACAAATATTTTACTTGCACTTAAATAATTTAACCTGCTCTAAAGGTTCTTGGTAGTTAAGGGCAACGCATTTGGATAGTAATGACCCCCACCGGCCAACTACTTGGCCGATCATGCCCATCTCCGAACTCATCCTTACTTTTGACCCGAAGATGAAGTGTGCAAAATTTCAAGTCGATAGCTTTTGTTTAAAGAGAGTTATCGTGCGCACAGACGGACGCACAGACGGACGGACAGACAGACATCTTGGTAAATCTATAAGGCCATCTTAAAAGGCCTAAAACTGAATGTTGCTACACATCTAACTAAAGTAGTATAAATGTAACAACGCCAAATACCTCCTACTTAAATATATGCACTAATTTAAAAAAATTCTTTTTCGTACCTGTTTTCCTGTCTTTTTAAAGAATTTTTCCTCTCCTCACACCACTCGCTTACTCCACCACACCATACACTATTCTTTTTGTACTAACCTGTACGAAATATCGCAATTAAAATCGTATCATTTTTAACCAACCAAGTAGATAGCACACAGTAATAATTTATAGCACACCTGCTCCAAGCAAGACCAGCAAACCTTGCGCTCACTCCTGTCCTTAATTTTTTGATTGACGGTTGGTGGTCAACAAAGCAGCAGCACTTGCACTTTTTATCTTGCTAATAAATATTATTCTACTCGTCTGCATAAATACATTTGCACTCAAAGTTGGCAGTAATGAAGGATAATAAATATCATCAAGAGTACAAAATTGGAGTGTTTCGTCTTAATCGACGACGACAGCGACACTGCTTTTGTCCCCTTATAAAAAGTGTAAGTGTATTATCTTAGTTGTTTGTTATTAGTTTAATATAGCGTACAAAAAGTGATTGTTGTTCTTCTTCTCCTTCTCATTCTGCGTATTCTACTCTGCTGCTGGTTTGTATTGCCTACCAATCGCCCTACCAACCCCACCTTTCCCAATACATCAACCAAACCCACCGCCAAGCTATGCGGGGTATCGTGCGATTACTGGTTGCGCTATTCTTTGCAAATTTTGTTAACAAAAAATTGCTAATAAACGTTACCTAAAATTAGTCCCAGATTATTAAATTACGTGATTTTGCTAATCCTAAGTTGGTCATTCATTTAAGAGAAATTATTCAATATTTGGAACTCAATTCTTAAAAAATATTTTTCTAGTAAAATCAAAGTCATTTCATGAAATATTAATTGGTATACCTAATTAGTAAGAATAAAATCACTGGCAATTAAGTACAAAAAGGAACATTGAATCTATAGAAGAGGGCTAAAAATGTCTTGCGAAATATGATGCTTCCGCTGAGGGTTTTCATGAACGGTTCATGAACAAAGTGAGCCAGTTCATCTATCACATTCGCATATCATATATCACGTTCACGTTCTATGAAGTTCTATGTTGCAGACTTATTTTTGCTCTCTATATATACGTTCGTACGTGTAAGTGGAGGGGTGTTTGGTGGGTTGGTTGGTTGGTGAAGGATTTCATTATATTTTACACGATTCGTTCTCCTGTTACTTGCGAGAATTCGAGTCTCTAATACACAACTGACTGCATTGCGAGACAATAAAAAGACATTTATTTTGGAGTTGGTTTGGATGGTCAGGTTTTTGTGGCATGGCGATGTTGGATAGTTAAATTCGCTGGTTAAATTCCTATTCTGCGCCGGAAAAACAGTAATAAACTCTTGAATCTGGATAGTTCAAAATCCAAAACTTTTTCTAGACTAATGGTGGAATTTTTGGTAAAATCAACGGGTTAGTTATACGGTTAATACAAAGTTGCTTGCGAAGGGGAAAGCAGCTCTAATTTTATAGTTTCATTATCTTTCGATCCTCTTGGTTATCGGGTTATCGTCTGCCGTCATCATTAGTCATGGTAAGTTTGAGGATCTTTGTGCGATTACATTTGCATTCTCATTTCACAAGTTTATAGCTTGTAAAACTCTCTAAGAAACGTTGTAAAAATGCTGACTAATCATCAGAAACGGCTGGAATGACGAAGTTGACCAGCAACATTGACGACAGCTTGTTTTTCGGAGTAGACGCTTCGCTTATTTCATCTGGAAGTAAGTAATCGCCACCGCCATTAACTGAACTCTACACATCAGGTAAAAATTTCAGTAATTTTTAAGTCATCTTTGAACTTTTATTAACATGTTTTATCTATTGGGACAGGATAAGGGAAGTTTGAAATATTTTAAACCAAGCGCGAACAAAGCAGTTAAAATGGACATAGGAATGGAGTTGGATACTGCAACGAGCGACCTTAATACACCCACACCGTCTACTGTACCAGCAAGTAAAGACGACGATCCTCCTTCGCGACCTTCCCCCACCGCATCCCCTGAAGATAAGGTCAAGTGTGCCATTTGTTTGGGAGATTTGGTAAACCGGAGCTACAGTAATTCGTGTATTCATCAATTTTGTTTCGGCTGTCTTCTGGAATGGTCAAAGGTATGATTATTAGAATAATTAATTACAGCTCAGTTTACTAAAAACAGCATTAAATGTATTTCATTCTTTTGCATTCAGGTTAAACCTGAGTGTCCATTGTGTAAGAGTACGTTTAGAGTAATCTACCACAACATTCGAAGCAACGTCGACTTTGACGAATACGTAGTGCCCACTCCTCCAACTCCTATCCCATCTTTGTCAATTAGAGTTTCGTCAGGACGGTCGGATCGCTCTCCGTAAGTGAAGAATATAATGGCATAAAAATGGAATTCTCATTATAAATTGGCATGCGTTCTAACAATAGTGAACTACTCATCACGAGAGGAAATCATGAGTTTGAACTTCCTAATTATGGTGGCTTTCACTACAGGACTCCACCACTCTTCAGGTATATTTATATATATATATATTTGAATTGAATTACTTGGAATTTCAGATGTTAACGACGATTATTGTATCGATATTTAGGGATCCAAGGGTTTATAGATTGCAACTTGGTCAGTTCGGGAGCAGTCGAAATGATGCGATCGATGTATTGCTTCATGGGCATCACGGTCACTCTAGTCATTATCCTCCTCCACACCCAAGCTCCGCCAGTTCTGTGTTTCATGAAAATCCATTCAATGATGACCCTCCGTAAGTAATTTTGCTTATTATTATCATACAAATGCTTAGCTAATAATGTACATTTATTACCTTATTTATTACTACTATTAGAGAATTTTTTGGAGGCATTCTTGATTTGGCTGCTCGTGCGCCATACAACCACTCGACTCGCTTTAGCGGTTATCAAAGTAGACGCAGACGGTACGATCGGAACCAATGGGTTGCACCATTCAGCTCTACGCTTATGGTGGGTACCGTGTTTTTCCCATCCGTGGAATACTTTCAACAGCATCCGGGCGCGATAAGAAGAATTTCTACGTGGCTCCACCGAGAACTTACCGTTTTAATGAGTCTTGCTAGTTCAAGAACTCAGGTTGGTTAGAATATAAATACAATTAATTCTGACTAAAAGTTGTAAAGTTGAGTTGGTAGCTAATTTATAATTCGCTCTGTTAATTTCAGATGGCATACACTTATGATCTTGTGATATCTCTCCTACTCCGATATGATATACGATCCCAGGACTTTCGAGATTTGCTCAGACCTTACTTGGGAGCAAAAACGAAGCAGTTCCAACACGAATTTTATCATTACGTATTATCTGGGATGCGGATGGAAGAATTTGATAACGTTGCCCAATACCACTCGACAGGAGGTTCATCTTCAGCAGTCAGGCCTGGTGAAAATCCTCATAATGTGCAACCAGCCGTTGTTACAATTGACTCTGATGATGATACTCCAGAAATTGTCATTGATGATGGTATGCTAACCTCCGACCATTAAGCCAAACTATCTACTATGCGATTCACTCACCCTCCCATCACAAGACCACCGAGGCTTCTCTACTGCTGCTGCTATTTTACGTTATTTATTTTTGTAGATGATCCTGGTACCACAACTCAGAGCAGTAACCATCATCGGCCCCGTAGATCACCCGGCAGGACTCATTCTTCTTCCAGACGAAATGGTGGTTCAAGTCGAAGAGGTCATGAATCTAGACACCGTAGTAGTGGTGGTGGTGGTGACAATCATTCATCTTCGAGACCACTCAACTCTGGTGGAAGCTTCAACTTTCCTTCAATTGATATCTCATCATCAGAATCCACAGAACCATTTAATGCGTCAAGATTGGACATTGTTAATGCATTTAACGAAATTGATACGGAGGTTCAACGACTTCGTAATATTCAATCCTCCAATCGGTCGTCGAGAAGATCACCCAATGTGTCCCGTGATCCAGAAATGCCAATTTTGGAACCACAAGTAGATTTGAATAATTTGAGCAGTTCGGGAACTCCGAATGTATTTAGAAGAGCTCGCGACACAGAACCAACAACAACATCACGACATATGTGGGACTTTATTAATGATGTGGATATAAGTGATATACTTGATGAACGACCTGGGCGTAGATTCATGGATCTAGAACCTGATGGTTCTTCATATCCACGCATACCACATCATGAGACCGACATGGTGAGTTATTAATATTTTTAATTTCGGTTCAATTTCAAAATTACTTAGTTATTAAACATAATTTGTATTTCCAGCATAACTTGTTGGGATTTTCTGCTCCGAGAGAAAATCGTCCGCTAGGAAGCCCTGATTTTCCCATACTCCAAATTAGGGAGAATCGCGAGAGGAGACATCGGGAACAGCAGCAGCAGGGACAACATAATTTAGCTGAAAATGGGCATACCTCAACGTCGTCTACCTCAATGGTAACGGCACATATTTAAGCATTTCAGTCGTTTTCAACTATTTAATCTAATTGACAAAAAATTGAATAATTGTTAATTGTTTTAGGAACGCCCATCTTGCATTCACAGCAGCAACACTAATACCAACAATGGCTCTGTGCAAATACGAATTTACCCTACTGCAGTGGACCTGTCACCATTTGGACTTAATCTAAGCAACAATCGTAGTCGCTCTCCAGCCGGAGCCGCACGGCCACGCACTCCTGGACGACCTCCTTCACCAATGATGCCCGATGATGGCGAATGTGAATTTTTGGGGGTCCATCCCATTGTAAAAAAGCCACCATTGGCAGTTATTACACTTTCTTCGGAAGATGAAAATGAAGATGGAAATCATAATCAAACTGTGAGTATTTCTTTTATATATATTCAGAGTGTAGTTATAAACAATTCTTGGCTTCACGTTAATTAATTATATTAAATATGTTTGGCAGTCATTGCAGACTGATAATGTGATTGATGTTGATCCCATTCCGGGTACATCAACTAATCTGATGCCACTATCGGCTCTACCTTTTAAACGTCGATACGTTGCTCCACCTCCAGAATTGGATGCATTTCAAGCGGCTTTGTCTGCTTTGCCTACAGCCAACCTCGTAGAACGACACATGGACTCTATTCCTCCATTCCGACAAAGACATTCCAGTAAACATAAAAAGAAGGAACGTTATCGAAATCCTGCCTTTGAGTTGCATTCATCTCCTCCTCACAAATCTAAAAAACAATCATCTGAAATTGAGAGTTTAGAAAGTACTGGATGGTCACGAGCAGCAGCTTCTGCTAAGAAAAGGAAGCAGTCTGTTACCGCTTCAAAATCCTCTTTGACTGGAAAAAAGAAGACTGTTAATACTCGTTCTACTAAGGTTAAACCATGGCTTTTAGTAGAACCCTCCGCATCCTCATCTCCATCGATGAACTCCGGCACTGAATTAAAATTGGACTCGTCCGCTGATAGTGATAGTGACTTTGACGTCTTTGCATCAAGAATCAAAAGCAAGAAGCAAAAGTCCCCAAAGAAGAAGACTAAGAAGTCTAAGAAATCATCAAAGTGTAAAAGTAAAAAAGGATCGAAAAGAAGCAGCAGCCGTACAATGTCTTCCTCAATGTTGAAACCTGAAAAGCATGCAACTTCTTCCACTTTCACCAACAATCCTGCTCTTTCTGGTTCTAGTTCTAACAGGCTGAAATCTGTGGTAATGAAGGTGAACAAGGGAAAAAAGAGCAGTAAAATTAAGTTGACGCCCTCGCTTATATTTACGTCGTCTGAATCGTCCTCCAGTGACGAGAAAACGTGTCGTAGTGTGATGTTTGACGGTGGTATGGTTGCAAGTAGCAGTGGGTCATTGACAACAGCATCATCTTCCTCCGCTACTACCATCGTGGGTGGGACCTCAGGATCTAGTCAAAGCCAAGAGATTCAAACCCCATCTTCTGCATTAGACCTGTCATCAACAGGAACGAATTCAAATCACTTGAGCCCATTTCTCGGACCAATTTCAACCAGTATCATGAAGAGAAGAATTTTGTCTCGTCGTTGGGAATCGGATGATGATGACAACGACGAGCAAGAAGACAAAATACTGATTTCTGAGAACAATGACGAGGCTTCGGATTCTGGGTCCGTGGGAAGATTCAATGAACACCAAGACGACCCGGATAATAGTGATGATAGTGATTTTTCTATTGCTCACCACGGCTCCAGGAATCACAAACGGCTACGAATTGGTGAGAACTGAAAATAATATTTTATTCATGATTGTTATCTTATTATGCCATATTTGTAAATTTCAGATGGCGACGATGATGATTTTTGAGGAATGATCACAAAGCTGGCTACGGAGATGTCTTTATCTGACTGAAATGCAGCTGGCGAATCTTCTCGGAACAAGACTGTGTACACAGGTACATTCATTTAAAATAATATACTTCCTACTTATCCGATAGCGTTTACACCCATTTAAAATATTTGTGTTGCATTTACGAGATTTAAGTTTTCGGTTTATATTATATTTACTATATTTACTGAAATTAAAAGAGACATATGTGGTAAAATATAGACGTGAAGTAATAATATTTAACTGATAATTTAGTGACAATGAAAAATCAAAGTGTACATATTAATACGAAAGTGGTGTGAAAGATGTTAATAATATTAACGATCTTATTTTCGAACGGGCGTAATATTGTGATTTTATTTAAAGCATTTTAATCATGAAAAAGCACAATAAAGACGTTATGAATCAAAAATGTTTATTTTTTAGTTTCAGACATTTTGAAAAATTATGGTACGCTCTAAACACATCGATCGACATTACATTAATGTAATTAAAAATATTTAAAAGCTGACGACATTTGGTAAAATTAAATCTAAAAGTATTGTACATCACAGTTCCATTATCATTACATACATATAAAAAATTGAGCTATGAACTTACGAAATGAATGTAGGTATTGAAGGTTTGTGCATTTAGATAAAAAAAAGTCAAAATAACCTCCACAATTTTTGGAATCATTATCATAGTATTGGCTAACTGTTGAATTTTATGGTAATTTTTTACATGTCTCCTCTACCCTCTGTACTCATAGTCTTGGCTGGGATTGTATCGCGTTTTTCCTCGTCTCAAAATCTGGGCTCGAGGGTCCCCTGTGGTACGCTCTTCTTGCGTCGTGGGAACACTTCTGCTCGTTGCTGTGTTTTGTGCCTTTGCAGCATAATTTGAAAAAGTCTCTGCTGCTGCTGGGGTGGAATCCCGATTCCTCTTGCTGAAAGATCCTCCCCTCCGAGAAGATCCACTACTGGATGGAGTGAAACCTCTCGATGAGGTGGTGCTAGTGGGCGAATATGCATAGTTTTGTGCCACTGTTGGCGTGGATATTTGTCCTTTTAGGAATTTTGTAATCGTTCTCGTCTCAGTAAGAGTGACCGTGACTGGAGTATTTGCCGGGATGGGAGGACATTTCTCATACTTTTGATAATTTCCTGAATAGTCGCCATCCGAACTGGGCTCTAGTAAATACTCTCGAGCCAATCTTGGGTTCTCGTCATCTTCCTCTTCTTCATCCCCGTTCTGCTCCCCTCGCTTTAAACGTCTATTGTAATATCCATAGTCGTCGGAATATTGGACTGCGGCAGGGTCTTCCTCAATCGGAGAGTCATCCTCTTGGATGCTGGATCCATATTGACGATTGTAGAATTGTTCCTGTTGAACTTGAGGCTGTTGTTGGCCATATGCCGTCGACGTCTTCTTCTTACTTTTCTCTCGTGTTGTTGGAGCTTGGGTAGGATTATTTCCGTAATAGCTTCCATAGTAGTCGTACTCGTCTTGTCCTGTTGCTGCTGGAGATTGATATTGGCTACCATGTTGTCTTTGAGACTTGGACTTGGTCGTGATTTCGGCATCTTTTTGAGCATACTTTGTAGGCGACCTTTGAGGGGGCGGCGGAGATTCCGTGGTGGTCGTGGGTCTCGTCTTTCGTCTCTGCTTCTTATCCGCGGAATTCGTGAATGTAGTCGTACCTCTGCTGCTCGAGGTTTTTGAAGGTTTTGAGGGTGACACGAACTGATCCGTATCAACTGGGCTGCCTCTTTCACGAAGATAAATCTTCTTACTTGGGGCTCGCGTCTCTTCTTGGACATCGTTATGATATTGGGTGTCATCCTCGTAGGCGTCATACTCATTCTTGTTTGTGGCACCCGTGTTGTCTGCTACCACGATCTCTTCCTTCTTACTGCTCCCTCCTCCTCCTACGATGGCTGTCGGGACCACGACGGACACGTCATCCCCGGCCACTGGAGAAGCCTTAATTTGCGGTACGACAAGCGTTGGTGTGACGGTGGAAGTGATGGTTTTAATCTCGGACGTGGTTACATCGAATGTTTTCGTCCGGGTGATTGTCGTGCTGAAGGGTTTGTTGCCAAAAAGTAGGGGCACCGTGACAAGCGCAGTTGTGGTCATTTTCGTCGTAAATGTGGAAGTTGTGAGGTACGTGGTGAGCGATGGGTACACCAAGTTTTGATTGATGGCTGCGAGGGGATTCAAAAAGTTTCCGGGACCAGTTCCACCTACCAAACCCCCTCCGATTTGTTGGCCGAGTGGCGACAAGTTGTTCAGGTTCAGATTAGAACCGGCTAATCCTTGAAGATTGGAGGTGGCCAGGGCAAGAAGCGGGTTAGCATTTACTTGGCGTTGCTGTTGTAGAGCTTGGTAGAGAAGAAGATTGGTCAACTGACAGGAGGCGAGGAGACCTGTAAATCAGAAAAAAAATTCGTATTCAAAATTTTATTAGCTTAATTAATATGACACAACTAATTCAAGTTTTGATTTGGGGGTGAGCGGTGATTCATGAAATTCATTTGCCGCTGTTCTGTTGTAACGAAATTCATTATTAATTGTTATCCTCGTTAAAATTGGGCAATTTTTCCGTTAATCAACAAACATTCTATTCCCAGTACATATATATTTCGTCAAATACTTTACGCTTGAACTCAGCCAGTTAAGTCCTAATGAAAATTAAAAGCTTAAGCCGAACGTTATATCATGCAATACAATAACTACATGCTTGCTTTACATAGCAATATGTACGGAATTAAAAAATAATTAGTACAAGTAAGTCAGTCATCCCAGGCAAATATAAAAAGCATTAAAATCAAGCCAAGGAAAAGTAAAAGTGTACAACTGTTTACAAGTAATTAACACGTTCTACATTTTATTAAAACCTAATATTAAATTAATAAGCATGCCGTTACCCTAAAGAATTATCGTTACAACTATTTCGTTGGATGGGTGGACTCGATAAAAGTTAGGCAAAACAGAATTCAAAAGACTTTTCCATCAAACTTTAATTCATTCAATTCATGAAAGTTGTGATAAAAAATAATTAGCGTTCCTCAATTCACATTTTAATCAATTCCTCTCAAACTAGTAAAGTTCCGCTACTGCATGGTTGGGATTTCTATCAAGTAGATATGCAAAGTGGTATGAGAGCATCTGTGTACACGGGTTGACAAACTATTCATTACTCGATGAAAAGTTAATGAGCCGAAAATTAGTAATTGATCTCCTGATGTTAATCGTTCTGCATCAATTATACGTAACTCCTCAGTTGTATCATATTTATGTAAAATGTGATGGGGAAATGCTCATGCATCGAGGTGGTTGCATGGGCAGTCAACAAGAAATTCAACAGATTTCCTCATGCAGTTTCGCTGATTTTTAAACATTTGGGAAATGTGCAATGTGCAGGAAATGCAGCTACTCGTGAGTCATTATCGAATGCAGAATTTTGTAATTTTTTACAATTTTCCAGCTTTTCTAGAGAAATGTATGTAACTTTTTGATTGTGGTAAATATTTTACAATTAGAAATGCAAATATCACCCTGAATGAGCAGTGTTTAAATATCTACTTTACTTATTCATAATAAGTATTTCCTAAAAAATTGTTGCGCTTTTGGTGTGCAATAACGCAATGAAAAGCACTCATAAAAACTGCGGTGGCTGCGGTACATTGTCAAGAAATGTCAATAATATAGTGACGGCAACCACTTTGAATTTGAAATTCAGCGACCCTTTCGATTTCTTAAGAGCATGCATGATGCATTGCGAAAATTGTGATATCTGTACGTTCAACTTCTTTTGTTAGCCGTCCGACTCAATTACTTTGCTTGTTCAGCCTCTGCTACCTTTAATTTCGGCATCTGTAAATGTATAATACCTGCAGATCAGTTTTTATTTATTCTTGGTAGAACTTTTTGACGCGATGCTATGCGATGCTCTACTTCCAACTTTGGCGATAAACCATTTTTTTGACACAAGAAGCTTGTAATTCTAATCAATGCACTATTCATTCGCTCTCGGATGGAATCAAATAGTTTAATTTGGTATAAAATTGTCATGTACTAGAATTTGGTAACGACAGAAAAATGCACATGCACGGATTAAGTAATGCATGCAGGATAAAGTAAAAGTTTAATTTTTACGTGTCCTTTGCGGAGAACATGAAAAAATGCAGATAATCAAGATTTCGATCTACAGCACGCACATTAATGACGGACGTGTGTGTTTTAAATATCTTAAATGGGAACAATCAACCAATAAGAAATAAATTGGTTGGTTTGAGAAGATTTTCTTGTATGTATGTAGGACAAAGAGTTTGACTATGGGCTTAAATTGCATATTATGCAAACGACAAATTGCTACTGTATTTTTTAAATTTTAAATGCTGGTGGTAACACGAGTCAAAAATCGATTAAAGTTATGAAACTTGTGTACAATTTTAAAAAGGTAATTTTATCCATTAGTTAAGACTGACCGCATGTCTTTTGACGAAATTTATTAATGCGTGCCCATTATTTATCGTCCTAATACCACTACAACATGGTCAAGATGATGATAAATTGAAGGAAAGTTAATGAAATAATGACACAAATAAATAACGCAAGCATCAGCGGGGTTTCATAACTTATGAATTAGTAACACATTAAAGATAATCCTTTGTTATTTATGTTTTTTAAAAGAAGCTAAAATACGAAATGTTACACGGCTGATGATGATGATGACGGAATTTTATCATCTTGTGAAAAGGGGATGAAAATGACATCAACAAAAGAAAATGAGAACAATAGAGCTTTGCAGTCCAGAACACCCAATGCCGAGACGTGTAAATTTGTGATTGTCACATTTAGGTTGCTGGTAGCACTTTTGGTCATTAAATTGTCGTCACTTATTCAGTCAACATACATACAACAACTGTCTACTAAATGGATATCCTTTTCGTGTTGCAAGGTGAAACTTTGGAACGGAAATGAATTGCTTATTTATATTTATATGTGCATATCGCCAACTTCAGGGGCAGACTGTTGCATTGACGAATTGAGTGCATTTTGCAAGATATTATTACAATATGCTATTTTTAAGGAGGGTGATTAATACTTTGATGGAGTAATTGATTGGATTGAGAGTAAATAGTATACGTAATCCAAAGTTGTGCATACATGTGTGTAAATTAACTATGGATATACAGTTCAATATCACAAGTGCAGGCGACAAGGCTAACAAATTGTCACTTGGTCAAGTACACAATGATATCATATTCATTCTAAGAAACTGATCCGTAGCATTGATTTTAGTGCCTGCATAGTACGCAGTGCATTTCGTGATCAAAAGTTGTTCCAATACCGTCCAATAATATTAGGTGTGGTCATCTGCATGTAAAACTGAGACGAAATGAAATGTGAGGATGGATAACCATGTTTCATGCAAATTTATACAATATTTCTCCACTTGGAGGAAGTCTTCACAAAAATCGTCCCACCACCAGTCAAACTAGTTGTGCATCAATCTTCTCCTTGGTTAAATTATCTTCTTGTAAATAAAATAGATACAAATTTTGTCCGCACTACAAGAATAAATACTTCATTGTCACAAGCACAAGAAAGTCAAAAGTGTCATAAAATCAATCTTGCTTCGATCCTTAAATTATAACTAACACTTGGCATTGTATCGCGTCTAACGAGCTATCTAAAATCCAATCCAACGCCCATGCACACTATCTTCCAGTTGAATGGTCAGTAGTGGTGATTGGAATAGTACATAATATGCGATGAATTTCCTCTAACCTATACCATTAATACTCCTACTAGGCCATCGCCATATTAAAAACCTAACAGGAGAACCCTGTATGCCAAATGCATCAAACTAATTTTATTGCATGCTGACGATAACCCTCCTCCCTTTTTATTACTACCTGATCGCTCCTGTGTGCTGTGTTTGACATTTGACCATTTAAGAACGTATATACCCTTATTATTCGCTATAGCTAAGGTAGTATTCCCAGACAACTTATGTAGTTCATGTGTACGCATGGGTACAAATAATTAGCTGGGAGCGATCTGCAGGAAAATTGAGATTCGATTCAATCATCTTTTCAATGTCAACCAGACCTGTAACAAGCCAATCCTACGAACGACCTGTTACTCACTCGAGTAAATTAGTTTGTAGGGCTGGGCTGGATTTGGCTTTAATATGGATAATGAGACCAAGAGCATGAATTTGCTGCGGGATAAAATTATTAGCTCATTTCATGAATTTGACATGATATTCAATGCACCGCACCGTTTACTTTTGACACTTGTAGTAGTTTTAGTAGATTCTGATACAACTGGATCTGGGTTATCGATGTGATGCATCAGCGAATAAATCAGTTATCGACGACATTATCTTTGTAAAACGATGCTAATCTCAACTATAAATCTTTTATGGCAAATATTTAATTGAATCTTCACGCTCACTCGCGTTTTTTCGACAGGTGCTCTTAAACTTGTATTTTATTGTGTATCTGTACAGGCTAGACGTTTATAATTCGAAAATAAAAAGAATCTGATACAGAGACGAACGCTTTATTTGCTGATTTGTTATAAAACTTTCTTTTGTGTAATTTCTATAAAAAAATGTTCTTAAAGGACTAAAAAATGAGGATCATCCCTGTCAGTGGATCAATTGTTGCATGATTTTCATTCTTAATCTGGATTCGATTATCTCAATATAAGTTTAAGCAGCGTGAATATAATGGAATGACGAGTCGTGAATAAATAGTTTAGATTGTTACGTGAAATGACCTTAAATTATTAAGTCATTCATGAATTGAGATGGATAGATGTGCAGATTTATTACTTTGAAACGGTCTACGCCCTTCCACAAAAACAAAAAAAAACATTACGTTCGCTTTGCATTGTTTATAAAGATGTATGCGTTTTACATAACGAAATATGGAAAGGATATGCGTAAGTGTAAGTAAATAATATGTATCATTTTAGTCGGCTTTTTGTTTATGAAGTCTAAATAAGTGAGTAATAAGAATGGGTGGCATGAACATAATTTCACATTTATACCACTTTTGACCATCGGCTATTAGTTGTAATGCTACATTATTACTGGAAGAGGAAGGTGGATATTTTATTTGGCAACTTTCATCTCGGTGGTCAATCCGTGGACGTGACCGGCCAATCCAGTAAACTGGTCTCAATAATTGCAAGGCAGTGAAAATATGATTTGATTAATCTGTAATTTTGCAAATTGTTCAACTCTATTTGGTAATAATCTCTTGTCAACGTATAATTATTTTTTATGTCTTTTAAGCCAGCCATTAATTCCAGGAGGCTTCCTGGTAAAATTTATGTATGTACGGGCTAATTTTTTGCTGTAAAAGGCTGTAAACCATTTTGTTATACATTTATTTAATCAATGCAA